GAATTAATCTTGACATATTAAATTACCTCGCGTTTCGAGGAATAAAAATTAGAGAAGAAATATAAAAAAAAACAAATTCGCAAGTGTATTACTCGTAACTATTGAATATTATATTTTATCAAATATTTTTTTTTATATATAAAATACAAATTCAAATAAATTTCAATCAAAAAGTTACAAGTGGTTACTTCAGGCAAAGTTGTTTTTTTTCTAGGTGCATAATTTATCATAGATATATCGTCAGATTCTTGGAAAAATGATAAAATATAAAATAACTTGTTATGTACACGAATGATGCATATTTAACTTTACTTTTCTCGGAAATGGCAGTGAGTGGTGAAATACTTTTTTTTTCTTCTCTATTTATTTTAGAACTAAAAACACGAGATTTTTTGCTTATTTCTATTCATTCTTTCTTAAGAATTGAAAGAAAGAAAAATCTTATACGTCTATCAAACACATTACTCTTTATTTTTTTCTGTATTTATTTGCTTTATACAGCCTTGTAATGTCTCCAATATATAAAAAGAAAGTTTCAAATAAAGAATAAAAAAAAAAAATTACGCATAACATAGTAAAAAAAAGATATCTTTCAAAACATTAAATATCGACTCAACAACTTCGAAAGGGTCTGTAAATGTAAGTGTAATTAAATACAATTTTAAACGGAGTTTTTTATTCGATATTATATGTAGACAGAGAGAGAGAGAGATATCGTAATCATATTTTATCATTACGTGAAGTACTACTAACAGGAAATTTTACGACATAAAATTGGATTCTTTTTTTCATTATTGTATATTCTACGCCGATAAATGATAAAATCGAGGTTCTATCTTTTAAAACGATACTGAAATAAATTTCTCGAGGTATATTTCGATCATATTCTTGTGGTTAAAATGAAACATTGAGATACTAGTATTACTTCTTATAGTATTAAAAATACTCCGAAATCTTCTTTAGTTTGCGGTAGACATTTATATGAAGTTTCTAAGAGCTTATAACAGTGTATCTTCTATAAAAAGAAATTCAGATTCTATTGTTGTCTAGAGCTAAGATATATTAACATTTAGTTGTTTCATTATCTTTGAAGGAAAGAATCTAGATTTTATTATTTATCTAAATAAAGATAGTTACGAACATTTGATATAATAATTAATATAAACAAATCGAATAAATCTTAACTTCGATATATACATATATATGACTGTATAAAATGAAGTATTTCTTTAACCATGAATAATTGAAAATCAATTCATCTTTAATATAATATTACTATGAAATTTAATCAATTGAATATTATTTTCTTTAGATTTCATATACTTTTTGAAAGTGTATTCAATAAGATGCAGGTGCTTTTAAATATTATAATACTATGATATAAACAGCAAATGGTTTCAATTTTGAAAGGTTTTATTAATAATCTTCTATACCAATAATTAATAGTATTAGTTAAGTTCTACTGGAAAACATATAGTTTTTCAATAATAGAAGAACTATTAATATACGTCATTATATATTCTATACGATAGAAATGTATCGTTATATGGATTTATTTGTTAATATTTATATTAATCGATTGGATAAATTTGGTTTATTGTTTGGTTATTAATGGAAGAAAGAAGATCAGTACTTATTTTGAAATGATCATTGATCTCAAAATTTAAATTCAATATTATAGTAAGCTAAAAACTAATTATTGACATTAATTGTTCTATTGGAATTTTTATAGTTCATCAATTACGAGAATTAAATAAAGAGCAGTTCTTAAACTCTAGTATATATCCAATCTATCACAGATAATATTTAAACAAACGAGCACCTAAATATAAAATTCAAAACGAAACAATCAAGAAAATATAGTTTGTCTATTAGATTATTTCTAATATTTCTAATACAATATTTCTTATCTTGGAAGTTAAATTGATTGAAGTTTGTACTTGTTTATAAATACAAATTCAATGAAATAATATTTTATTGTAAGAAGATACAACATGTAAGTCTATGTTATACAACAACAGCATGAATATTATTCTATTAGAATTATCGTTAGTTCTTTTACTAAAACATAAATTTCATGAGAGTATTATCTGAAAAAAGCTGTATTTTTCCTATACTTATTTCAGATATATATCTATTATTTTCTTTCACTCAACAGTAATGAGTGCGAGCAATGCAAAAAAGAAACGACCAGCCCCAACACGTATGTATTTCTATGTTTAAAACTTATAAATTCCAATATTATTTTTAGAACAAGTAATATCAACAGCACAAACCGTATGTTAAATTCTTTTTTTTCTTGAACTTTGAAAATTCGATAATAAGTTTCTTTAGAATGTAATTAATAGTCTTCTTGATTGTTATGATTTTGTTGCAACAAATGAATATTCGGAGAAAACAATTGGTATAGCAGCATTTTTAACACGAAAATCTGTTGGTGATATAAATTTTTCCGATATTATCGATGATAGTGAAAAACGAAGTCGTCCAGGGTAAATTCTTAGGAAAAAAAACTGAAAATATTTTCTTTTATTTCATTGAAGAACACAAACAAATTTTATTGCAATGCTAGAAGATAAACGTGTTAGTCTACCTGAAATTGATGCATCAGTTGAAAAATGTTTGATGCTAACTCGATTAATAAATCTAATCAAAGACGTAATTAGAAATACTGATGAACTATTAACTTTTATTTTTAAATTTATCTGTCATAGGACGAACCAGCTTTTGCAAAACTTATATCCGACATACGACTTGATATGCAATTTAAAATGGTCGATGATTATATAGCATCTTCTAATTCTTGTGTACGATTATTTTTATCAAAATATGCTCTATATATTTATAATATTTAGGATTTTCGAAGACGAGAACATGAATTCAATATACGAAAAACTACTCAAGAAGTACGACGTCTTTTTTATCAAAATGATGCTGAAGCGAATAATCCTAAAAATTTAATTTATTTACAAAATAGGTATAAATTCTAACTTTTATTTTAAATATTTCAATCAGATATATAAATAACGACCTTTTTCTTGATTCTTTAGAACTACCGAACATTTGAAATCTCTAATGAATAGAAGTGCTAGTGATTCAAAAGCTCGTCAATCACTTCAGAATGAATTCGAATCAATATTTCGAAGGTAATAATATTTTATAGAATAATATTTTTCATTATTTCTCTATTCTAGTTCATTTATGATTGTTGCTCATCCACATTCAGGTGTTAATCCAGTGACAATATATGAACGAAAAGGTCCTGGTGCATATACAGCTAAAATATCTGTTACTATTGTTTCTCTATTATATGATTTTATGCAACAATATCCAAATCTTATAGAACTTTTTGATATTGGTATTTGATAACAATGATTTTTATATTATAAACACTTGATTTTTTTATGTTTAGAACCGAGTTTATGTCCATCGTCGAATTACTATAGACTTGAAGAACCACGTTCTCTCTCTTGGAAACCTTATCAATTAGTAATCGGTGCAAGTGGTAGATCACATACATTTCTTTGTGCTGAATTATCATCGATAACTATTGAGCAAGCATCAAAAACTGATACACGTGTTCGATTTGCTCAATTAATACATTCATTTAAATTTGCTATTAAACTTCAAGTAAGTCAAGTTTTTGAAAACTATTATTGAGATATATATATTCGATTTGTTATAGCTCAATTTAGCTGATAGTAAAATGTCACCGATATTTCAAATTCCTTTGGAATCATTAGTATTTGGTATTGGTGCTCATAATAGTCAAATTCCTCAATTATTAACACGTGTGATATTAGAAGATATTAAACGATTTTCTAGAGTATGAAAAAATATAAAGATGACTTATATTTTATTTTGATATTCAGATTCAACCAGCTAGTATTGAAACAATTCAATATTTTATTCGACGTTATTTTATTCATCGAACTGGTGTTTTCCCTAGTGATTGTGTTAATGTTTATCTTGAACAAGAATTAACCAAAGCTAAAAGTAAAAGAAAATCATTTTCGATTAATTATATAATTGATTAATAATATTTTTAGATCATAGAAGTAATTACAAATCAATAGAAGATATTTATCTGGTACGTAAATGAATAAGTTATTTAGATTAAAATTTCATTTGTACTAACAACAAATTAATTAAGCTTTTCGGATTGTGATAATTCATTATTTATCATATTTTTATAGAAAATTTTAATTCTCTATTTAGGATTTTCTTGTCAATTTTGTACATCAAGTCGAATTTATGGCTAAACATCCACTTCTAGCGATGTTTCATGCTGATCAGTAAATTTCTTTTGTTGTAACAAATTAGTTAATGTTCTTATCTTGAATATTTTTTCTATAGTCTTTTTCTTGGCATATGTAATAGTGAACGAGCAGCTGAAGCTATTGTTCAATCATCTGTTTCTGGTTCCCCAGTGATTGCACTTCGTTTTAATTCAATTCGTATCGATTATAATACTATTGCATCATCAACCACTACTAGAGCAATTAAATTTCCTCCATGTGCCGTTCGTGTTGATATATATAATGGTTTAATATTAAACATTGAATTTATTTGAAAGAAAAAATAACATATTTCAATATTTAGATCGTACAAAAAAATTGCAAAATCGTACATTTGATTCTACTGTACTCTCAAGTGATATAAGCAAATTTGTGGGGTCAGCTAATGCCGAGAATGCACGTGCTATACGTGTTCTATCAAATTTTGATGATAAAACAAATGGTAAACATTATATAACATTCGGAGCATTTAGTAAATACTATCGTAAGTTTAATCATAAAAAGTAATTGTCTTTTATTTTATTATAAATACGATATTAGATGAACGATTAACACAGATACTTAAAGATGATACCAAATATAAACCAGTTACAGATCTTGTTGAAAAGTATGTTTAATTTATTAGAATTATTTTATTTATTTGATATTATTTAGTGCGAATGTTGGAAATACTGATGAAGATGTTCAGGAGAATGACAGTCGAGATCCTTATAGTTTATCTTTATTTAGTCCAAGTAAAATTGATAAAATATAAGTTTATAAATCTAAATTCAATTTTCCTATCAGATTCAATTCAATCATGGTCACCAATATCACCCAGTGTTTTTGATGTTGAATCTGTATGAATAAGAATTCATTTCTTTTCTCTACATATATTCTCTTGTTTTTCTTCAGAGTCGTGGTTCATCAAGTATGCATGAATATGAATCCTTACCATTTGAAGATTCAAACAATGTTTCTTCACCACAACAGAATGTTTTACCTTCACATAATCAACAACAACCGTTATATGTAAATGGGAATAATCAAGAAGAAATAATAAGACAGCTTCTTTCTCGTCCTGAGATCGCTGAACAAGTCATGCGTCAATATGGTGTTTACAATGGATCAACTCCGATAGCATCACCACAACAAATGTCACACTCACCATTACCACAACAAACATCACATTCACCATTACCACAACAAGTATTACACTCACCATTACCACAACAAGCACTACACTCACCAATACCATTTCAAACACAGCCATTATTATCTCCACAGCAAACTTCAAATCAACCTCCATTACAAGGAACATTTCAACCAGTACATCGTCAAAAACAAACACAGATGCCATTTCATCAACTGACAACTCAATCACAACCACAACAACGACAAACATCATCATCAGTAATTCATTATTACCCAAATGATTCAAATCAATCATCATCAATACAAAAAACAGAACAATTTCCGTTTACTACAACAGAAAGTCTTCAATCGATGACTCAACAATATTTACCACAAATTGAAATTTTAAATCTATCTGATGGGATTACAAATCAATCAACTACAGACATGATTCAATCACAAATGCCAGACGCTGAGGTAAACACACTCAAATTTCTATCTTATATTCAATTGAATTATTACTAGGGAATAGAAAATCTGATTTTTAATGAATAATGCTGAAACTATAAAGTTCATGAGAGATCATCTATCTCGTTAGATTCTTTATTATTGTTAACTATTGGGAGATTATCTTGATAAGTCGACTGTAAAAGTACTTCTAATTGTTATATGCTAAGTATCATCCTTGACAAATATTTTCCACTTTATCATAAACTTTCGAGTGGATCAATATAATTGCTAAGATGTAATAATAAATAAATTATTTATCATAGCAACATTGAAATAATCTTTAGTTTTATTAAAATTTAACTGAGTTACTCAATTTAGATTCAAGAACTCGTCAGTGATCCAGCATTTCAACAAATTCTTGCTGAACTAAAAAAGACTTAATCAAATATAATTTCGTAAATATACTCATCAAAAAATTTATTATTGACATCAAAACATACGGAGATTCTTTTTTTTTTCTTACTCATTGATGTATAACAAAAAATAAACACTAAACAAATAAAAATATTACACATATTTAGATAGACAGATCTATTTTGTTTGTTTTTTTGTCTTTTTATGTATATAATATAATAGACTTTTCGATTTGTTTACGACATATTGGACATTCTTGCACACGATCACCACAATTTTGACATATACCATGACCACATAAAAAAACCATGTTCTTTAATCGATCCATACATATTGGACAATGAACTTGTTCACGAATTTCTTGTAATTGTTGTTGTAAACGAGCTAATGCAACGGCATCACTTATAGTATTCGAAGGCACTGTTGTTGTTGATATTTCGGGTTTAACTGAAATACTATCATTAGTTTCTGAACAGCATAATTCATGAAATGATACTGTCGAATCAATTGATGCTCGACATGCTAAACATTTCGTCGACACACCAGCACATTCTAGAAAAATATATTTTATTTCCGATATGATTTCTTTTCTATTTACCTTCACATGCAATTAGATGTCCACATGGTTTATACATAACAGATGCCTTACGTTCAGAACATATTTTACATTGTTCAATCTATATAAATACAAGATTTAAGAATAAAACAAATGAAATCTATAGTTTTTACTTTAATTCTTGTTTGAACATTTTCTTTGCATAATAAACATTTTTTAACTCGACTAGCACATGAATGACATGTAACAATATGTGAACATGGTTGAAATAATGTATCTCGTTTATTATCCGAACAAACAAGACATTCCACTGAACTACTAGTTTCTGTTAATAATTGATTTTTACTATGTTCTTGTTTATATTCTCTAAAAAAAAGTAAATAATATAGAAATACGAAACAGTTTTGAAATTAATTTACATGTTTTTTTGTGTTAATATTCGACATAAATGTGGATCAGGACATAGATCAAATGGTGTTTGATTTTTTAAATTTTTTATACATAAATCTGCACCGTAACTAACTAATGTACAAGCAATAACTACACTTGGTCGTTTATCATAACCATTTATATTCGTAAATATATTCATTGTCTAATGAGAAATCAATATTATTTTAAATAATTATTTCCTTTTAGAATAAATACAAACTTTTCCACTATCTCCAACATCTTGTAATTGTTTTAATTGTGATAATGTATGATGTCGTAAAGCTTCATGTAGACATGTATCACCATCTTTGTCAGCTAGATTAATATTTGCATTTTTACTACATAATAACTATCGGAAAGAAAAGAACAATCAAATGAAATAAATATCATTTTTGATTCTTACATTAACAATTTGTAAATGTTGTCGACCAACAGCTAAATGAAGAGCAGTTTGTAAACTATTATTTTGTATATTAATGGATGCATTTCCCTTAGTCAAAAGTAATTCAGCAGCAAGACAATGATCATTAAGTGCTGCTAAATGTAAAGCTGTAAATCCATCATCTTTTTTTTCATCAACAAGCCATTGTCGATTCTGAATTTTAGATAGAATAAGTTCAATTGCACTGAAAAACAAAATAATAATTTAAGTTTTTTTTTATTATTATTTATTTATATTTGTATATATATTTGTCTAAGTAATTATCAATCCTTATTGCAAAGAATTTTCTTTTTTCCTTTTCTGTACATTCTTGCCACTTCTGGATATAACCATGAGTAGGAATAACAACAACAATAATAATAATAATTCGCCAAAGACAAAACAAGCAATTCATCAGATAGCAAGAAATACGATTCAGCTGAAGAATATCAAGAAAAAAATCTTTTTGCTAGATCTGTTACCTTATACATATATATATCAATGAAAATTTATTTATTATTTTATGATACGATATAAAAATATTTTTTAGATGACCAACACATGTTCACAGACGACGCATCAGAATAAAGAGAATTGACGATGACGACAAAAAAAAAAGAAAAAGGATGAGACTAATTTCGTTATATCTAGCACGAGGAGCAAAAAAAATAGATAGGAAAGAAGCCAATAAGTCATCTTCTTTTTTTCTGCTCTTCCTCATTCACATACTCGTTCAATCAACAAAAACGAAGAGATAGAATAGAAGAGAAAAAATGTTATTGTAAGTCTATGTGCGTGTGTGCACACATTCGCACTCTTCACGTCAGTATATATTTGAGAACGAACATAAAAAAGTAGATGTCATTTTCCATTTCCATTTTCTTTTTCTTTTTTATATTAGATTGTTTTGTTTATTTATTTTTTTCTCAATTTAGAAAGACCATAATATCATAGCAAAGATCTTTTAATCATTGATGAGAATTAATTAAAAATGAATTATTAGTTCTATGTATATAGATATATATATATATGTGTATATACGTGGGAAGGTCGCATGCTGCCAACATTGATGAGGTATGACGATGAGCTTGCGCGATGTTAACCAGCTGGCAGAATATAAGATAAAAAGAAAAATGAAGAGATGGATGATCTGATTGTTGTCTCTCATCAAGGGGATTCCTTTTTTTTTCTCCATGTCGGTCAAGCTAGAAACGGCATCATCTATATGTATATTATAAACTGAACAGTAATGTTATTCTATAAACAACTATTCTCGTTTTGGAAACGATATGTATGTATATACATGCTTCTATTCTTGTTCAGTTATCAACGGTTGTTCATCATTTTCTTTTCCTATCTCTCTCTTTTTCTCTCCCGTTGTTGGTATCTTCTTTTCGTCCTTATCGATCACAGAAAAGGAAAGAAGGCATCATTTTTATTGCTGTTGTCTTTTTTTTCTCTCTCCCTGTCTCTCTCTCTCTTTCTCAGCCGAAAATACTTCCTGCTTCTGTATATACATAGATATATATATATATATATCAATCAGAAGAAGTGCGAATGCTTACGCGCCGTATTTTTTCTTCTTGTATTGGCCATATTTGGCCTCGACATTACTACTATCCTGATTCTTCTATTCGCGTTTACATATGCCTACGTACAAGAATAGAGTGTGCATATAGATATACACGCACAAAAAGGAATCATCAGTAGTATAAATACAAGAGCAATGTACGATTCTATACTCATACTCGTTGATATTTCTTATTCTCATTTACCAATGTACACATATATACATATATACTCTTATATACATATACGTATATATATATATGCATATATATATATAACTTTGTTCAAAATGGTTTATTAATATGTAAGTACTAAGAAAGAAAGTTTCCAACTCGTACTTCTAAGACAGACCATATTGAAAAGTAATCTTATGGAATGTAATAGAAGTATGCCGAGGGCTTTCTCAATCATCATCATCACGAAGTATACATTAACACAAGATAAGAAATAAAAAAACGAAAAGTATAAATCTATTATTCATTATTTCTTATTATATATATATAAACCAAAAAATTTAGCAACGTAGAATGATTTTTTACGACTAGAAAAACACATATGGAAAGATAATCAGCTTCTTTTATATATATATTTTTTCAATCGGTCAATCGACACGTTTATGGCAATTAGGAGAATGAAAGAAGACTGTTGTCCAGATGTGTGATATCTGTTTTCCTGCTGATTGACCGCTTAGTTGTTAAGAATTGAAAAAGAAAACAAAGATAAGATCTAATGACTCACGATGAATTGCCACGTAAAGCAGAATGATGAATTGAATTAAAACCATTATTATTACATGTACCAACATCAGCATTGTTTTCAAGTAAAATATTAATTAAATCATCACGTCTTTTCGATATAGCATCATGTAATGGTGTATCGCCATCAGAATCTTGTATACCAGCGTGAGCACCATTTGATAAAAGAATTTTACATACATCAAAGTGGCCTTTACAAACACCTGAAATACATATGATTTATGATAGAATTTGTTCTTCTTTGTATTCTAATCATGATCTCATGAATATATTAATTTTTCGATATATATATAGAGGAAATGTTTGACTTGATTTTGTTATAATTATATTAAATAGACAACTAGTCGGTTAATTATTAATTTTAAGCGAATAAGAAAGAAGAAGAAGAAAAAAAGGATATTCTCTTACTACTACGTCTTTTTCTTTTATTCTCAAGAAGAGATGTCAAGGTCGTTGGGAACGTAGATTCATTTGTATTTAGTCATGTTATTTCAAATAGACAAAAAAAAATATTTGAACGATTTATTTACCAATATGTAGTGGTGTTTGTCGTCGTTTATTTCTAACATTTAAATCAGCACCTGCTTTTGCAAGTAATTCTAAGATTTCAGGTTCATTACCAAATGCTGCATGATGAACAGCTCGATCACCATCTTTATCCTAAAATAAATTCAAATATAAGAAATATTTTTCCTTTGAAATTATTCTTTTACTTCAATTTCTAAATTAGCATTGTCTTTAATAAGTAAATGAATAATTTGTTTATGTCCATTTTGAGCTGCTGCTTGTAAAGCTGTATGACCAGCAAAAATGCCGTTAACCTAAATAAAGTCTGTAAAAAAACGAAGGAAATATTTTTTTCTTAATCATTACATCAATATTCGGTCGTTTTAATAAATCTTCTACTCGTTTTAAATCACCTAAAATTGATTGAATAAAATAAATAACAAGAAAAAGAAAAATATCTTACCATTTGCTGCTGCTTTAACGAGTTCTTCGTGAATATCACCAGTTAATTGTGCATCAAATAATTTTTTAAGCATTGCGTTAAGTCGTTCTAAAAATAAATAATTCACTATATTCGCTTCGATAAAAAATAAAATTTAATCTATACCTTCATTGCCACCTTCTGTACTATGTGTTTGATCAACTTTCGTAACAGCAAGTGGATTAAATATCCAAGAACCACCACCAACTTGTACTTTCACGTCACCATCAGCATATAAATGAATAACTCGACCAACTTTTCCAAGTGCAGGTACCATAGCTTCAGCCCATTCACCATGTCCACGTTGATAGATTTTCATTTTTTCTAAATCACTACATATCTGAACCATATCATTAACTTTCAATGCTTGATGTGGTACTGCAGCTGCTGTTGTTCTTGCCATATTAGCTGTTGTTTGTTGTCGTTGTAAAGCTAATTTTTGTTCGGATGTTAAATCAACTCGTGTTAATAAAGCAGGATTTAAAGTCCATCGATTTCCACTTGGATAAACAACTACAATATCATAATCTTCATCAAGACTTTGAACAATACCAGTTGCACCCAAACATTCAAACATATTATCTGTCCAACCACCATGACCATGTTGAAGTGATTGCACTATTTCTAATTCTAAATCAATGTTCACATAATCACCAACTTGAAATTGTTGACTCATTGCATATGTTAATTTAAATAATAGATAATATTGAGATTAATAGATTTATTTTACAGATATGAGTATGATAAAATCTAAAAATAAATGAATTTTATTGTATCAATTATCTAAATGGATCTTAATTATTTTTTAGTTCGAGAAAAACAACAAAACAACAATGTATTGGAAAACATCGAAAAAGAAGCATAAAATAACAAATCTAACAGATAAAATTGATTAATTAACTATTTTTGTGTATATAAAAATAATATTATACAAATTTGTTACAAATAACAAGTTAGGTCATTGATATAAATATGAAGAAGAGTTTAATCTACAATTACAAGAGTTTCTCAGTTGAGTTCATAGATCCGTATTCTCGTCATATGATATGATTCGCAGAGACAATTACAACAGTTGTCGCTGATTGTCAGTACAATAATTTTGACTATTTTCAGAATAGTGTGAGAAAAATCAATGCAATCTACTGATTATTTTACATAATATTAATTTAGTAAATTTAAAAAATCATTTCTATTTATTCAAATATATGATCATTAAGTTCTCTTAATTTACATAGTATCGTAGTATTGTAAAATTTACTATTATTTAGTAAAAATTCATCAAAAGAATGAAAGATCAGTGAAATATTTTCTTACAGTTACTATTTGAGTTATTACATTACATAAGCATTAGTTCGCTTTTGACTCTGTGATTATCACAGGTATGAAAAATATCTAAATTTTCAGTTTACTTTTTAAAAAAATCACCCTCTTTTTCTTTCTGTACATAACCAAAACAAAAAATCAACTACGTTGTATATTTCCATTTTGAGATATACTAATCAACTGATCAAGATTACTTATTGGAAACAACTGTATTTCAACTCACTTTACAGTATTTGATACTTTGATTATCACATCATCATTTCTTAATAAAATTCAGAAATTACTTTCATTACAATGATCAATGAAAAAAGTTCCCATAAAATTATTCACTATAAATTTGTTGTTTCATTCCTTGATACTACTAAAATACAAATAAGCAAAAATAATGGGCGCCTGTCTATTATGCGTCGTCATCTGTTATATTTTCCCTTTTCTATTGTGAAACCTCTTGAAACTAAGAAAACTTTTGAAACAATAATAACAAGTCAGCTGCCGTCGCTGTGAAAGAACAAAAAATATTCAAAATTTTCTACCAACATCGATGATCGAGGTGTCGATTGACATTTCTAGTCGTATTTCTTATCACTTCGTGTTGATCACTACAATAATACTCTTAGTTATTTTACTAATTGAACTAAATCGAAGAACTATAAACTTAACTCAGATGACAATTACCAGCTGCACATTAAACTTCGTCAACTTTCCGTCAGAATGATCATGTCTATTATGATGACAATAAGCTTATTCTGTTCTAGCACTTTTTCCAATTAAATATTTACTGCCTTGAAGTGGCTATAAATACGAAGTTATAAGATATTTACATCTATATATTATGATCTTCTAGACAATGAAAACTAGTGAATGTTTGTTTTCCTTCTATATTTGATTCGAATCATTTACAACGTGTGGACCATCGGAAGAACCTCTTTCTGAATAAATAGTACTAATGTATCGTACATGTACTCGATACAGTTCTTCTCCAAGGATTCAAATCATCTGGATCTGTTTCATTTCCTTATCGAGAGATGTTAGATATGGTCTTGTGAATAGAAGAAACTCGTTGGCTAAGATCCAAATCATAAAATTGCTTGATTGACAGAACTGAAGAAGAAAACGATATTGGATATCGGATATATTTCCGATACTTATGATGCGTAGGTAACCTTTGACCCGATTCCTTCTGTGTGTGGAATGTGGATTAGATCATTCTCTAACTTGAATTAGCTTCATTGATGAATGCAAAAAAAAAGATAGGCTTTATCTCCGTTTATTTTGTTTATACAGCCATAATTGTACTGTAGCCTCTGACAAGATATTTAGTATCGAAATTCTGATTGGGTATAACCGATAAATAAATATACATTTAGTAAATCTAATATTCTGTCGTTCAGAAAAGGGCGTAACAAACATATCAGAGCTGAAGATATTGTTCCTGATCAACGTATTTATTCCATGTAAAACGAAATATTTGCATTAGTTGTGAGTATATATATATTTCTGCTTGTTTTTAAAAAAATCATCATTCCAGTGATATAAAAAAAAACGAATTTTTACAGAAAAAATATCTTTTAGACAATTGAAAAAGACAAAAAACCCAGCACCAGTAATTATATAATTTTGTTTGTTGAAATGAAATAAAAACGAAAAAAAAGAAATGGAGTTTATTCTCTAAAAAACACTATGTACAAATTGTAACTTGTCAATTTGGTAATATGTATATAGAACCTTTGGAAAAGAAAACGAACGAAGATGCATTTAAACGATAAATAAATAAATAAATGAAAATTTAAGTTCTTGTTTGGACTTTTTCATTTTCATCATCTGCTTCATTTGAACTATTTGCATCATGTTCAACTGGCGCTATTGATTTAACTATAGATTTTTTAATTGTTGTTTTTGTTATTTGTCGCTTGGAGACTGTTCCATGGTTAGCAATCTAAATATATAGATTGAAATTAAACTATGTTTAATTAAAATTTCTAACATGCAACTAGTCAAGAAGAAGAAGAAGAAGAGGAAACGATAGCATCACACAATCAAATATAAGAAGGTGCACACTACAATTCTCATTACCTGTGTTTCTATTTTATAAGAAGAAAAAAAAGGACACAATATATAGCATAGCGAATAAAATAAAATGATTATTTACCTCATTTGATGAAGAAATTGTGGAATTGATTCGATTTACTGAACGTGGTGGTTGTTTACGTACTGTAACTTTTGCTACTTCTGTTTCGCCTGATGAATTATTAGCTAAACCATCAGGTTTTTCTCGCTGATCTAAAAAATTAAGATCTATTTATATTTTATTTATTCTTTCGATTATCAAGAAAAAAAAATCAATCAATACATATCTGTCAACACTAAAGACTTATAACAAATGACGATAACTATATCAAATAGACACTTGAAAACAAGACAAGATTTTTGTTTTCGAGACTTCTATCAACAGACGTTGATGATTGATATAGTACTTTACAATAAAAATAATTGATAGATTTTTGTACGTCCATAAAAATAAGTCTTATACAAATGCCATTAAAGCAGAAAGATCAAATGCTGGATTTTATAAATATCACGAAATGAAAAGAATGTCTTTCAATTAATTGGCTCAATATATGATTAGTAAATGCATTTCTTTTTTTTCAACCTATTTTCTGCATCTATAATTACTCCTGTAAATGTCCTTGATGCATACATATGCTGTTAATAATGTTCTTTCCTGATGCGTGTATAACCTCAAGAGATTCAAGATTGTATGTATCTTTTGTGACATTTACTTTCAATGTTACACGGAATAGAATTATTTACTTTTGTAATAATAAATTGAAAAATCCTTTTTTGTATTCATAAAATCAACTTATAGGAGAAGAAAAACAAATATTTTTTTGTTTTTTATTTCAACAAAAAATATATTTTATTTCGAGATAGAATCAAATTTCAAAATATCTCATAAATCTTAGATATGTTATTGATCAAAATATCAATATTGGAACCTATATTATAAACAACATATGTTTCTACAACTCATATTCAAGGTAATATTTAGGTTATTTAAGTGGTAATGCATATCAAAGTTCTAAATAGACATATTCACGGTACTCAATACGACTTTTACCTTGTCCGATGCGATCTATGTACTTTTCTTCTATAGAAAAATCTCATGGTGATTTTTCAGTAAAAATTGAAGGCTATTTCAACAAAAAAACAATCATCGAGATGAAAAAAACTATTCATTATAGTTATTAATAGAATTTCAAAATATAAATATGCACAGAGAACGATTAGAAATTAAGAAGAAATCTTTTGAGCAGCTTTTTATAAACTATTATCAACATTAGATTCTCTAGAAAAAACATAAATATCAAGCAATTAGTAAACAATAGAAACTTAGCTAAATGAATGTAGAAGAAATATTACGACTAAGTCAGAATAATAGATAATCAATTTCAATGCACCAGTATTAAAACTGTATACTATATGTTCTTTTAAGAATAAAGCGGGCAAATATGTTCAATAGCTTACTTGATCGTAATTCTGTTCTAAAGATTTAATTAGAAATTTATTACTCGGTAGAGAAAAGAGTGTTTAAAAATTTCGGAACCCATTAGTATTAAAACAATAAACTTACTTGGTCGTGCTTGTCGATTAGGAGGAATGGTAGCTTTTGACAAATATCTACGATCTTCTTTCAATCGTTTAGTCAATTCTGGATCTATCTCTACTATAAAAAAAAAGAAAATTTTATGCTTAAAAATAAATAATAACAAATAACCTTCATCTTCTTCATATAATGTATCTGGTACATTAGAAAATCCTTTTATTGGACCATCATTTATATCACTTGTACTTAATGAACGTTTAAGGTGTTCGCCAAGATATGCTTGACCCTGTTGAAAAGAAAATATTATTATTATTTTTTTTCTTCTTCACTTAAATAAAACAATTCTTACCAATACAGCAGTATTTAAAAATAGATTCGATGCATAACGAACACCTTTATTCGTTAATTCAATTAAAGTTGAATAGCCTTTCTGTTTTGTTTGTTCAAGTAATTGGTCAATATCCTAAACATAACAAACTAGATGTGAATTCTGATGCAAGAAAGAAGCCATACTTGTTCGTGTTCTTTTAATGCTGGTTGAACAAAACGTTTATATAAAAGTGTTGAACCAGCTGGTGAAATCATCCAAAGTACAATGAATATTTTAATCCAATAATAAAATGGAAACCTAATAAAAAAAAAGTTCAATAAAGAAATTAGAATATTATATTTTCTTTATCTTATACCATGATAGAAGAATGTCAGTAACTGTTTCACATGCAAGAAATATAGAAAATACAATCCAATATCGTAGACAATTAACCTAGAGTATTAAAACAAGGACGTATGTTATTTTTACTACTTATTGTTGAATAAAATTTTCATTTGTAATTCATACCACTTCGCGTAAATCTGAATTAATGAGCGATTTATATGATCGATAACCAGGATAAAGTGTACCAATCGTTACACTAAAAATAATAAGCAGAAGGAGAAAAACTATTAATAGAATCTGTATATATATATGTGTATTCATACATAATACAACGAGCAAGTAAACTCGATACCATTGTGAATACTTTGTTCAAGTAGATGATTGTGATATTAACAAATAATAATCAGTTATTACAATCTAAAAAAGCAAAAAAAATGATCTCTATAATATATAGGTACAATTAAAATCATATGTGGTAAATGCAACCTTATACATATTGCTCGATTTTTCTTTTGCCTTCTATTTAGTTACACAATCAACCGTACCACTAACAACCCTACCCTTCCCATGAAATAAAAAGAAAGAAACGACAATATCATCAAGCATGTTCACATGTGTTGTTGTTATAGAACACGAAAAAGAAATAGAAATAAATATAGGAGCCGATCGTATCTTAATTGTCACACCGATTCAGTATAATTTCGTTGATATAGTCTATTATATCAAGAATAAAGAAAACAATCTCGACGATAACGAACAATAATAACCATATTTTTATCTGAACAACTACTACATTTTTTTTCTTCTCTTTTCTTCTTTTCTGTACTTATAATAACCAACAATCAGTCAGTTGTCTTCCTACCGCTTCGTTTCTTCTTTTTTTCTTTTCTGATGAATAATGCGTGTTGTTATTATTATTATTACGTATAAACAGCCAATAGATAAAAGAGAATATTTTGAACACCGACTGATAGCGACATTATGCTGATTATTTATAAAAAAATAAAGATAATATGCTTGCTTTTATAATACAATTTCGAAAAATAAACGATGAAACAAAAAGACAAGAAAGACCGTATAATTTTATATTATACTTCAAAAAAAAAAATTCATCCATATATTCTTATGCAATTTTGAGCATGTTATAACATAGATTTGAATATATGGATATAACAACTGCATTAAAGAGAAAAGAAAAACAGAACGACTAGATCTTAAGACAATGTACAATCAAAATGAAATGAACATATAATTATAGCTTTGATGAAAAAGATATTATGCTGTTGATGGATTTCATCATAAGACCAAAAAAAAGATAAAGAAATAATCTAAAACTAATGCACAATCAACAAGAGCCGGACCAGCTGGCATCTTCACATACAGACATATATATAGAAAAGAAAAGCAATGATCGGGTACACAGATTACACAAAAGAAACAAAAAAAAAAAAGAAAAAAAAACTGTTATATCACTCGGAAGTATGATTTCAAGATGTTCGTTTGAACACATTTGGGAAGTCTAAAAAATCGATATATTATAATAATAAAAGTATAATTTGATTAATTTACTTTTTAAAAACGAAGTTTGAAAATAATTTGGAGGTAGATAATGGAATGTAATCCATATAATTGCAAGTATTAATAAAGTCATGGCATGAACACTATGAGATACAAAAAAAAATGAATATATATATATATCTCAGTTGAAATTCTATTTATTTACCGTGATTGAACAAGATTTTTTAGAGTAGATAATAGTAATAGAATAATTGCAAAAACAGTTAATACGATATTGACTAGTTTACTTATGATTCGATGCGTATTTTCTTCTGTTTCAAGAGAATGCGTTTGAGTTTGTTCAACTTTTGCAGTCTAAATATATATAAATGATTATATACAAAGTCATATATTATTTCTTAATAAGCTATATTAATCATATTCTATAGGGCAATAAAACCATAAAAAAACGAACGAATGCTTATTATTTATCTTTACCATACATCAAATATCATCCTATTCTTAGCAATAAAAATAAACAAACAACATGTGTATAGTCAATAAGCAAAAATAGATATCGATATCAAACAGATTAGATTCATAACAGATGAAAATTATTTATAAATTTCTTTATGATAAATATAAGTTAATTATATTTATTTGTCAACAAAGAAAAACTAGCGTTACTATTATGTCTCGACATATTAAAACCAATATTCACACCTATGAAATTGCTCTCGAAAAAAATTTTGACCTTCATAATGTCTATAAATATTGTCTATATAATGAAATTTCTTTGTTCTATGATGATGATAAATAATATAAAAACATCAATCATTCAAATCAATTTAATTTGACGTATATTTTACTATATACGATGAGAACTGATATCAAAAATCGATTATATAATTGAAAATCGAAGGCAAAATTTAATAGTATTTCTTCTCACCTTTATATAATTGTTTTTATGACAAGAAAAAAACGAAAAAGATTTAAATAGATATCAGTTTATATTCTGATCGCGTGATTTACCTCTTAAAGATTAAGTTTTTCGAGATAAAACCACTACAAAAAAAAGAAATGTCTACTCACGCACTCAATTATTGAGACAATGCAAAGAGAAGCTCGGATTTCCTCTTTCCTGATTAATACAATGAACATTTTGTTACAAGATCAAATGTTGTTAAAATTCTTACAATCTAAGTTATTTGTAATATTATATAGATACTTTTAAAACGATACAAGAGTCCAAAACGAGATTTAATCTAATGTATTATTCTCTTATAATGCTACAATTTTGATATTATTTAAGAAACTCTTATCAAAAAAATGCTCACCATATACAGTCTAACTCTCTATTTCGATAGACATCATTTACATCCAGCCTTGAATAAATGTAATGAAACTCGTGTAGACCTTTTATCGTGCAATTAGAATTTTACATACTAATGCAAGCGATGAATATATTTTTTCAAAGTAATCTCGTCTCGAAAGGATTAACTCTCTAATGCAATAAATTATATTGTAAAAAAAAAACTAACCCTTGTATCGAGTTTATCTAATTTTTCTAATACTTCATTCCAATAATCATTAAATTTATATGCAAGTCGCTCTTCCAAATTTTTTAAATCTGTTTTCATTGATAACATTTCAACTTGATGTAAATCTATTAGATCAGTTAATTCAGTATTTAAACGTTCGTTTTGTTCACGTTGTGTATCGTTAATAACATTTAATGAATCGATTTGTTTTTGCATATCATTTATTTTTGTTTCATATCGCTCAAAACTTTTTTGCATTGAATCAATTTTTGTATTTAATTGTTGATATTCACTTGCTGTAGTAGTCTAAATAAAAACATAGATTTTTATGAATTATTTTTCTCTTAGAATAAATTTACTGATGTATTTCGTTTTGATGTATTATTGATATGTCGATCATCACCCGAATGATCTGATGTTCGATCAGTATAGTCTGTAAGTGAATCATCACTAAAATAATAAAATAGAGAATTATGTTCAAAACAAAGAATTATTCTATTACGTAAGACGTCGTTTTGTTGTTGGTGATTTATCGATATCATACATGGTTGGACCATCAACTAAAATATATAGATTTTTGTAAGAAAATAAATAAACAAAAAATCGTTTCATTTATATATAAGCATAAGTGTATATGTCGGAGCGTTTGGTCATTAATAATTACTTACAATTACTTGCGATGTAACGAATCGTTTGTAAATGGCGGCCTAAGGTGCTAGTTATATTATTTAAGTTTGCCCTTCTCATCTCTTTTTTTTTATTTTTGTATGCGAATATTTATAAATAATGCCTACCTGAAGCGTTTACATCATGTTTTCGATTTGATTTATCACTATCATAAACGTGTTCGTCTAAAAAAAAATTAGAATATATGATCATAAATAAATATAAAACAAATTGAGCTTCGTCTCATGTTTTATTTCAAGTAAAGAGAATTCGATAGTTTTATATAGAAGAAAAGAATAGTTTAAAGAGTGCAGACAATGAATTATATAAAAACGCTGATTTTTAAGTATACTTAAATTGAATGATATAGAATGACAGTTCTTTTTTTTTAAAAAACTTTTCATTATTTAGAAATTTCTTTAAATAAAAATCAGTTTAACTTACGAGTTGAATCAATATAAAATTGAGAATTGCCAACTTCATTTGATATTGTAGTTGATAATATTGGATGGGTAGGTTCAAATATAGAACTATGTAGAGCTTGTGTTATTGAACTTTGATTATTGTTATTCACTGCTCCACTTGTAGATACTGATGCAGGCGTTGGTGTTGTTGGCGTTGCCAATGGATTTGTATGATGATGATGAGGATGATGACTATCTAACTCGAAAAATTGCGAAGATATGGTTTGTTCAGGTGTATTTGGAGCTGTAATAGTTATTGTTTGATCGTGAAGTTGTGATGGTCGATGTTTTAAACTTCCACCAGCAACTTTCGCTGCTGTACTTTTTATATTACTAAATATATCTTTTGATGATGTGTAATTATGTGGTATATCTCCCGATTGTATACGTGCAATGTCGGATTGATAAGCTGCAATTTTTTTTTCTAATTCTTTTTTTGTATCTTGTAATGTTTTAATACGTTTATCAAATGAAGCATTTGTTGTTCGAGACGTATTTACTTCATTATTTACATTAGGCATTGCTGTTTGACGAAGAAAATCAGATATTTCTTGTTCAACACTTATATGAGCTTTTTGATGTAAAAGTTTGGCTTTTTCTAATTTTGTTTCAACTTTAGCTAATGCTGCTTGTTTTTTACGTTCAATTGGATCAAGATCGGAAGTAGATAGATTTTTTTTACGTGATAATGATGATGGTGTAAATGGATTTGTATCTTGATCACCAGGAGTACCACTACTATGTAACTTTTAATAGAAAAAAGGAAATGGAAAATTAAATATTTAACTAGAAGGAAAAAAAATTAATTTACATTGTCTGATAAATTTAATGCTTGCTGTTCTAATAGTTGATAATTATTTATTTTTGATCGACCTGTTTGATGACCTGGTAATGAATTTGAATTTCCAGCACCAGGTTTTGCTGCTAAGGAATTAGCCTTTGAAGCTGGAGACAGTGTACGAGAATTTCCAGCAATATTTTTATTGGCTGATGGTAATGAATAATGAGCATCAAGAGGTGCTAATTGATTACCACTAGCGGTTGCAGTTGAAGGTGCTTCTGGACTTGGACTTGTTCGGTGAGCTTGTCTGAATAAAATAATTGAAAAAAATATTAATTTGAGAATTATCTTCTCGTATCTAACTACCCTCTTTTAGATACACACCAAAACCATCCCATCTTTTTTTTATGAAATATAACAGAGCGCTCTTTTCTTTTTCTTTTTATTTGCTTATTTTTCTATATGTACAAATACCCTTTTAATTGCATTGTATCGTCCTTTTCTTTTCATGATATATCTTACGTCTACAGTCTGTTTCTTATTCATAATAAGTGTGAAAGTAATGCAAAACGACAAGAAGAATCAGCTAATATATTAGCGGAAAAACGTCTTACAAGCATAGATTTTAGTTTACTCTTTTGAACATTTAGGATGATTCTTTTGTATCTAATTATATTTAAATCTAAAATGTCAAGTTTGTTTTCTTTTTCTTCCATTACTAACTCAATGTCTTTCTTTTCGTCTTCATTTATATTGACAAATGTCTACAATTATATAAAACAAGAACGAGAAAAATACAAATTAACAAGGTATAGACAAATGATATTGAAAAATCGACTGCAATAAAAAAAAAGAAAAGAGAAAAGAAACATATGTAGTCTTTTATCACATGACAATCGCGATTATGGGTGTCTACAATTGATATGTAAGCATAAGCTTTTAAAATAAAACATATTGTAGAGATTAAAACATAATTTTAACTCTATTAGGATTTACATAATACTACAATAGCGTCTCGAATTGAACAATAAAAGAGTATACAAAAAATAGTTATTAGTCTTTAGTTCATGCGGTACGCAGATGAAAGAAATTAACTAAAAATTTTGTTTATGATCGAACAAGAGGTTAACCTTTTTTTTTAATATTCGTCATCATATTTACAGATTAATACTTTTCGTGATCACAGCATTATTGATGAAACTATATTAATTCATCGTCAAATTTCTACTTAATAAACTTTTAAAGATATAGTCCTACAGAAGAGTCTTTTTCTATACGATACAAATTTGTTGCGAAAACAATATTCTTCTAATTACAAATAATCTCTCTTTCAAATAAATTCCTTTGTAGAATCAAATCTACTTTATACATTACCTTCTATTATTAATTTCATTTGGTGGAGGATTGCCAGTACTATAAATCTCTTTATTAGTGTGTTCAATATCATTCATATTTATTCAACACAAATCTAGAAAAGAAAGTAACATATATATATATCTTTAAGCGTTATTCTGATATTTTTTCTAATCAGAAAAACAACATCTATTATTTTTAGCTATATTCTTTTGTTATTTATACACTAAACAAAATATTAGTATGTTGTTATCAATCATAATACTTATAACACACAAATAGTATTATTCTGTATATAAAGACATGCTCGGATGATAAAACACATTTTTTGTATAAGAGAAAAAATAGGTGTACATCATACTTTTGATAGAAAATAAATAAAAAACAAAAAGCATGAATATCATAAATATACGAAAAAAAAACAAAAAAAAATTAGATAAGAAATTTTTTTTCTATTTTCGTTTTATTATAAAACACTTCAACGCACCCATAACCGATATATATTCTTAAAGTAATTCAAAAGAAAAAAATATTGTTATTCGCCTATACATTCAAATAAAAATGTGTGCATGACTGTATATCTATTGTATATACATATATATATATATATATATTAAGCTAGAGGAAAAACGTATAAATACTCTCGTTGACTGCTGGGTAAAAGAGCGTTGTTAGATGAAAGGAAAGAAAAAAAGAACAGACAAAAAAGAAATTGTTTTTTTTTGTACTATTTCCCTTTTTTAGCCGACACTATCATGATTATTATTTACGTATAAATATACTTTTCTTTGTTTAATCAAGAATGATTAATCTAAAAATATAGACATTCCAATAATAAATATTCATTCAGACAAAAAGTTATTTGCATCTGTAAAATATTTATAGATAATAATTCTTTTGTTCATCTTTAGGTAAAAAACGAGGTTGAGAAAAACAATAGAATTTACTCTTTATTGATAGTACTTGGATAACAAAAGATATCGGTAGACTCGCGTACCTCTGTTCGATTTTTATCATAGTGTGAAAAAAAAACAACGGGAGATAATATCTCAGTTCTCCGCTATCAAGAGTTGATAAAAATCTATTAAGATCATATGAAGAAATATTTACAGTTAGTCATCGAATTGATAAATTCACAGATAAAGATATTTGATGAATTTAGTAAAAATGTAATTTTATTTATTTTTATTATTGACGTGATACTATTTCATAAAAATAATATTTTCATAATCAATTCCATAGATTAGTTTACCTTGACATAATACTCAGATCAATCAGATCATTGGCAAGTTGTCATTACTTACGAACTAATATTATCTTCAAAAAATAAGTTTTCTTATAATAACATTAATATCATCTGTCTTATCACATATGATGAATAGTCGAGACATTGTTGACAAGAATAATTCATCATTAATAATCCGAATATGTACACATTTGTTGCGTTAATTAATATACTTGAATATATAATTTATAAAAAACATTTTGCATGAAAATTTATTTTGCGATAAACCATACACCAGGATAGAAAACACATTTGATTAAATTAACACGCATGCTTGGCATAGAGAAAATTATTGGAAAGCTGAATATATTATATTTTAACTGGATTAATTATAAATATTTGATTTAATAAAGAAAATAACTGTCTATTATTTAGGAATTTATTCGAACGTATTTTGCTTTTTTCTTCGTTTCGCATAACTGATCAACACATGCTAATATGGTTATGAAGTACAAATGTTCTCTCAATTTTTATTGATCAATATTTGAGCAGTTAGCATTCGAGAAATTACATACTGACATCTATCAGCACGTTAATTATGTAAACAAAATTAATCCATATAAAATAACTTTCTAAACTATTAATCCGTATTAAATATATTTTTTGATTTTTATTTTATATAAAACTTTAATATAGAAATGTGAATTGAAACCCATAGTAATCGTGACTATAATGGTTGTTCAACACACAGAAAAGAAAAAAAAAGATTTAAATTGAGATCTTCATAAGTATTATTTGAAGATGCTTTTATCTCAACAATCCCATCAATGGGCTTCTCAATCAGGTACATCTTTTGCAAGTAATTATGATCGCCAACAAAAGTTTAATAATGGAACAAGAAATCCAGAAGGTATGTGAAATACGCTTAAAGAAACAAGACTTTACCTTGAGTTTTTAGGGCGTTCTCTTCTAAGTGGCCCTATTCCAGCAACACCAGACTATGAATATGATGCTCGTATTAATAGGTATAGACTTTACTTTGAAATCATATCTATATATCTTCTATTTAGTGCACCAAGCAATTCACAAGGTATTGCTCGAGTACATGGTTCAGATGCAAAAGCAAATCATAAACGAGCAACCAATGGAACTGGAGTTCCATTTCTATTTGAAGTTCAAGGTACAGGTCTTATGTCAACACAAGGAACATCAGCAAGTATGAAAAACAGATCAATTTTGACTTTTTATAAATAAACGAAAACGTTATTCTCTCTTGCAGAACCACCGAGAAATCATCTAAATGAAAATGTAAGACGACTTCGACGTGTTACACGAGAAGCTCGAGAGAGACAAGCAGCTAAAGAACGAAATCAACCAACACCTGTTAGTGGACTCTGGAAATCTAAACAATATGATACTGTGCAATCAAAAGTTAAACAACGATTAGACGAAGTAATAACACTATTTATTTCTAATTTGATTGATCTGATCTGATTCGAGGTTGAAGTTTTTTTTTTAAATGATACCGTTCGCCGCGACCTAAACCATTACTATAATCATCTTGAGACAGATATGATTTTAGTCGGTTTGTAACAAAAGAAAGCGTGTCTGGTTCTATTCAATGGTATACATTAACTAATTTCTTAATATTAATGTAGAAAAGAACGAACAAGTTCAGTATAGCTCGAGTAGAGAACAGATGAAAATTTAACCCTGACCTTTCATCTGTCGAACAATAATTAAATCCTAATTTGACCTAAATTAGAGATTTATGATCAATATAATTACAAGATTTGTCCTATATTTTATAAGTTAATGAAATATTATTTATTGTTTGATAAAAAAAACGTCATTTGATTATTTAAATTTCATAGGACACTCATCGATCATTATCCCGACCTCAATCAGCACGCGGTAATTTTCTTCATGCACATGAAAATACTGGTCCACAATATCTTCGATCTCAATCTATTTCGAGCTCTCGTCGTGGTTCGATGTCATCATCTGTTGATTTCGTAGAATTAAAAATCATTCTATAATTAAAATAAATTCATTTTCTATAGAATGCATTGCAAATCGATGATAAAAAACAACCTGATTATGTCCGAATAAACTCTCAATGGGCGAAAAATATTCCAAAAGTACGTAAAACAATGAGTAATGATGTTATTGAAAAAGTACAAGACAAAAAAGATCGAGATTTAAAAGCGTATCATGAAAACCAAAAAGGACGGGTACCTGATTAGTAAGTTTAATTTTTATTAAATATTTCCGTTCGTTTCAATTATGTATTTAGTATTGAAAAAATAAAAGAAAGACGAGCTCAAAATATCTATGAAGAACGTGCGAATGCACCTGATCCAGAATGTCCATTTGGTCATGTTAAAATTGATAATGATAGACGTTTAGCAACGTTACGACAACTTGAATTAAGTAAGAAATTATAAAAAATATGAATTTATATATATATTTGTTTTCGTTAGATCGGGCAGATCTTGAAAAAAAATTAAGTCATTTACCAATACGTAATGATTCTTTAACACTTCGACGAGCAAAAGAAGAAACTGAAAAGAAAATTATCGAACTCGATGAAGCAATTAAAATATTTTCCAAACCAAAAGTATTCGTTAAAATCGAAGAATAAATATGTAGAATTTTTTCGTTTTTGTTATTTTTCTATAATTTTTGTGTGACAAAAAAAATGTCCAAATCGCCATTTGATTTTCATGTATAAATAAAAGCATCAACGGATTTAATCATTATGAATTACATACTTTTACTACAAATACTTATTCTCTATTGAAAGTTTAATTATTCATTTTCTCAATGATTCGAACAAATGATCTTTTATAATCTCTAGTTTACTTAATATTTATTCATCTATTTTGTATTATATGAAAAAAAACAATTTTCTATCTGTCATATGCTTTAGAAAATGTCAGATTAATTCTGACAGCAATGCAATAATATGATGACTTAAAGCATTTTATCAATCCTATTATAATTCAATTGACTAGCGAACAAGAATCTTAGTTATATTGATTTGTACTTAGTATACGACTTAATTATATTTGAACATATTCTTGTTGATATTACGTAAAATAATGTATTGTTTTAAATTTTGTAATATTGAGATATGTATATATTCTTGATATATATTTATTTAAAGTGAGAAGACGCGAGCTTGTTTAGACGGAAACAGGAAATTAGAAACGACGACTGACTCTTTTGCTTGTAAAGAAAACGCGTTAATTCATTCATCAACTCGACTCTTGTCCATTACCACTGGTATGACGAGAGAGATGTTAGCGCAACAATTTTCTCTTTCGCTCTCTTTTTCTTTTTTTTCTTTTTTTCTCTGCCTTCTATATATGAATGTCTTCCGGTCTTCGTTCATATTCAATACTTTTTTTCTTCTCCTCCTCCTTTCTCTCTCACTTTAGAGAGTAATAGTAGCACATCAACGTAGCAAACATAACGAAGTTCTCAGTTTTTTGTTCTCTCTCATTACTATATCTCTAATGTGTTGTTAGTTCAATAAAATATCGTTGTCCGTCTACATATGAACCATATATCATCACACGAAACTTTGACGTCTACTGATCAAAATTTGAATGTCTAGTAGATAAGAGAACAATAACTGACTGATGATAGGATGTGTATATATACACACATACATATATATATATATATTCATACATGAAAAAATGCATTGTCCGGTTCACATACGCCTACATTACCTGTCAAATTACATAGAAGGCAAGAGAATGTAAGTGGTAGAAAGTGAAATCTCACACTTGCATCGCCTCCCATATGTCGTAATCAAAGAAATATATTTCATTAGTGCATATTCTTGAATACCTACATAGACATGAGCGAAACGATTAAAAAACTTAGCCAAACAAAACGAGAGTACGTATAAAAGTGTAACTAAAATTCTACTTCTATCTTTTTCTTTTCTTATTCTACAGAGTAGTCTAGCAATTGAAAGAAGAGATCTTTTTCTTTTTTTTTACTTTTCTTAGATTATTTATTTGAAAAAAAAGAACAATTATGGTTTCTATACATCTTCGTTTACCTATATTATTATCTTCTTATTATTATATTATTAATAGTAATATAAATTATAATCTTATTAGATTATATTCTATATGTCTTATATTTTTCTCTCAAATAATTCCATTATCATCTTCAAAATTTGATGATCAAGTATTAGATATTGTACATTCTATGGATGGTGATATGTGTCGAAATTATGTATTTACTTGTTTATTTCGACAACGATATCATAAATCATTTGATAATCAACAACAAACTGGAAATTGTAAATATCTTTTAATATTACATTCATGTCTTCAATATGATACCGATATAACAGGTATTTGTTATAAATTATCACTTAATCGAGCAAAATCCCGTCTTGATAATGATTCATTAAAACATTGTTTTACATCATCTGTATATAAAAATTTTCATGCTCAACATCTACGTTCAATTGCACCAACACGAACTATTATGAAGTGTCAAATATTCGTGCTTTTTTTTCTACTTATCTCATTTGTCATTAAGATAAGAGCGTGTTGTTGACATTATATTTCTGTGAATGTAAAGGCATGTGCCATTGCTTTATTAAAGATTTTTCTGTGAAGAATGTAGAGAGAAAAAGAAATGTAATTTTCTCAGGTGACAGACACATGAATGCATCGTTCATTTATTCATTCCATACAATGACAGTAACAAAAAAAAGTAACAGCATTGCCTGCTGTGAGAGTGAAGACAAGCAACCAAGCAGCATCCCGAAAATTGATTGCTAATGCGTTTCGTGCATGTTCTTCTTCCTTCATCTCGTTGATCAAGTTACAACAACAATGCCAGAGGGTAGAACGAGATTGTGTTAAACAACCATTTTTTTCTCTTTTTCTCTCTCTATTCCATTAGTGCATACATTACATCTATTAAGTTCATCTTTGACGACAAATTCCTCTAGTGACATATATCTACTCATCATCATTTTTTTCCGATTACTGATCGAAATGCGTTCATCATATCAATCTATAGAACGATTGGACTATAGTTTATTTTAACATAAGTCAAAAAAGAGAGAAAGAAATATAAAAGTCATCTAGTATTAGTACTTTAGGGAATAAATTGCACGCTCTAGAGTTTAATCAACGATTGTATCAACTGATTTCCATCTCATATTTGATCATTTTTTTTTTCATCAACAAAGAAAATCACGGCAATCATATTGAAAGACGATAGGAAAAGAGAAAAATGGAAATAGGAAATTATTGGTATGTAATGATTCAAGTGACAAATAAATAGAAAAACTAGTAGTGAAGTGTTTTTTATGTTTCAAGTAATTTCAATGCTTGCTTTCCATCAACTTCTTCCATTTCTTTAAGTAATAATGCTGTATTATAACGTAATTCATTAAATTTTTTTATTGGAACCTAGACAAAAAGAAGATAAATGATTTTCTTTTTATAATATTATTTACTTCAAATGATAAATTTCGATTATCAGTTGTACGAAATTGAAAGAGAAGCAATGGTTCAATACATCGTGATAAAGATCTATAAGTAAATATTCGATAAACAAAAAAAAAGATACTGAAGAATGTGCATACGCTGTAGTTAGAGTAACATCAAGATTCCAATCAAATGTTTGAAGTAATGGAAGACGTGGACGATCACGTTCTTGAATAACATTATACAATTGATCACGTCTATAAATGACAGATAATTTAATAAAATGTAAATTTACATTCGTTAATAGAAAAATACTTAGCACCAAAAAGAATATTATGAAATTCTTCAATTATTTGTTCGGAAAATCTAATCAGAAAATAAAATATTTTTCTTAATAGATACAAAAAAACAATTGATGCTTACTTTAAATCACGTAAATCATCTTTGAATGTCTATAATTAGCGGTAGAAGAAAAAGAAATATTTATTTATTATAATAAGGATATAATTTACATCGGATTTAAGAAATGCTGCAGGTGGTTTTAATGCTAAACGTATTACATGAACAAAACCATTAAAAATAAGAATTAATTGTTCGATTGAAACAGAATATTTCTTAGACATTTTTGTTAAAATTTCAAGAGATGATGGTGTTGTTTCTTCATTTAGAATTTGTGTTTCACTCACTAAAATAAAATGAAATAGATAAAAAGACTCGATGAATTTTTTCTTTACAAGAAATAAGTTTTTTAATTGAATCAAATGGTAATGAACTACAGTCTTTAAGTGCATGTACACATAAAGATATTGCTTTTGGTGTTGTCCATCCATAAAATGGATCTTGATACGAACGATGATCTGGCATTTTAGTAAAAAAAAACACAATGTTTAATCTAAAAAAAGGTTCTTACAGAACAAGAATAAATATGACAAGATGAAAATAGAACGAAAGAAAAAGATGATATACAGATGGAGCTATTAGATAAACATGTTATGTTTAGCATACACATTGAAAAACCTATAATAAAAGTAGAAAGACATCTACAATTTTTGATTTCTTTGTAAATATATAGTATATTAAAATAAAATAATTCATACGAAAATTGCTATTGACATATCCTAGTATCAAATAAATTACGAAGAGTATTTGTTAGCATGATGTAATAATTAAATTAATCGAATGTGATGTCAACAATCAATAAAAACCATTTCCTTATTTGATATAAAGATTTGATTGATGATTGGTAAATATAAGTAAAATGAATTGTTCTTAAAACAAAATACCTGTGTAGATCGCTTTTCAAGAGATGTTTTCTTATTTCTATATGTCGTTCTTGATAATTTACGAGACGTATCAATACTGTAGAACACTCCGTAAATTCAACAATTGTTTACTGATGATTTTTAATTACATTGATAATATTTTGTTTGAGAAGCAAAGTCAAATTGGGTGGCGCCACATAACAGAATTTGTTTTCACTGATTACAATATATTAAACATAAAAACTAACATAAAGAAGTGTAAAAAATTTAATTTCCTTTCTAGTTTTATGCTATAATGAAATAATGACATGATGGAAAATATTAATTTAGCACTTATTGATCTTTGATTGACATGGGTGTCTTGGTAACATCAATAATAATGATGCTCATAACATGTGCGACATTATTGAAAAAAAGAACTTTTTTTTTTCTTTCTTTCACAGATCTTTTCTTTGGCATTCTTAATAGTCTTTAAAACTGGCAATTCGGCAATGAATGATGGTGCTTTCTATATTACGGTGCTTTTAAATTACCTTATTCATCTAAATCAAAAGAATGAAAAGAAATGGTCTTGTATTTGTTCCACGTGAACCACCAAAACGTGTTATTCTATATCCAGCACAGGATTCAGCCAGTCAACAACAAGCACTAAATGGATTTTATACAAGAGCAAAAACAGAGCTTATAATTAACAATCAAAATGGAACGATATCACAATCAACTAATAATAATAATACTATTCGTCTTTCACGACAACAACTATTATCTAGTGCAGTAAACGGTTCATTTAGAACTACTGAAAAATCCAGTAAAAGATTTCAAATTCTTATTTTAGTTATTATTTCGAAACTTTTTCTTCTCTAGATAATGATGCATCGGTATCGGCGAGTACTTCTGCGTAAGAATTATGGTAATTTTCTGAAAAATAAAAATGCATTTGTTGTCTCATTTAGACATTCAGCAACTTCAAGTGCTGCACAAAAAGTTCAGAATCCTTACTACACAAATCCATTTTTTCGTCCGAGAATTATTACTAAACAGCAACAACCCACAACGACAACTAATACATCGATTTTACCATCATCAAGTCCTGTTCCTTCAACAACAAGCACAGATGTTACAGTTCAAACTATTATACCACCATCAACAACAATGACATATAGAGGAAAACAACCTCTCAATCCTAGAATTAAAAGTCCACTTCTTTTCTCAAATGGAAAATCACAGGATTCTAATAAAACAATTATAACGTCTCTTGCACAAGATGATAATCGTCATTGGGCTCATTCAGTTACATCAACACAAGTTGTAGAATCAACGACTGATAATGAACATTCTATTGGACCAATAAAAGCATTAGAAACTACCGTAAGTTATTCGAATAGAATTGGTTTTATTCATATTTTTACTTTAAAAGGCAACAAATAATGATACTTCTCAACAGAAAGGCTCTTCATCTACAGATATCACTATATCGCTTTTAGGCGCATCGGTAAAATATTTTCTTTTGTTTTTACGGTTATAAAAACGTTTCTCTTATTTTTAAAAAGTATACATCGAATCATTCCGGAAGTGTACCGGCTATTGATTTACTTACACGTAATAGTAGTTTAAGAGATGATTCAACAGTATCTAATCAAACATTAATTTCTAATGAACAATCATCGAATATACCACCATTGTCATCAGCTGAGATTACTTCAGCAGCAAACAATAATAATCAAAACTGGAAAAAAACTTTAGCTGCAAATTTTCAAAAGAATTATCGTAATACTCCTACGGCTAGATTACTTTATAATAAACAACCATCAAGTTCATCGAGTAGTGATATAATTCCTCAACAGCAACAACAACAACAACAAAAATCCGAACGAACTATAACTTTAAGCGCAATTAATAATGATTGCATAGTACCAAATAGTGAAAATTCATCAGTCGTATCATCAGGATCACGAAAATCAACAGAAAGTCTTCTAAATCCAAAGTTAGACAATAATAATAATAATAATAATACTGAACGCTCAGGATCTTTACAGGTATTTTCATATAAATCTAAAAATCTATTTTATTTTTATGAATCCATCTCTACTACAGATGCAAAAATCTACATATTCCAACCCAACAGTAACAAAAAATACAAGTGAAGAAAAAATCACACCAATAGAAATATCAAATCATAATCATACGTCTCATCTACCTATTTCAATTCCATCAGCATTATTCCCAATTAAACCAACAGCAACTAATATTGAACAACAGAGAGCTAATATAACAAGAGTAAAACAAATTTTTGAAAGATTCTTATATCGATCGAATAAAAATATATTTTAGGTTATGATACGTCGAGATTTTGTTAAACCACTTGAATCTAAACCACCTATGCCAACAACGACTAATATGCGTTCATTAATGGTTTCACAATCGGCTAAACCCGACAGTTTATCTACAAATAATGTTATTCGAGTAGCTACAATCACGGAAAATACGAATCGCACTTATCTATCACAACAACAACAGCATCAACAACAACAAGCATCATTGTTATCTCAAAAAAGTCTTTTATTATTTGCATCAACGAATTCAACACTGAAAGACCCAATAAAAGGTGATAATAATCAACAAAGATTCAATGGAATGAATTCATTATCTCCAACAAGAATAAAACAATCACAAATTGAAACCACGAATAGTGTAACTACCAATATTGAATCACGAAGAAAACGAGAAGAACCTAATAATAAAACACAACGACGAGCTGTTAGTGCATCAGCAGCATCTAGTTACGAGTAAGAGAAATATATTATTTTGAAGAATCTTCTTAAGTGGAAATTCAAAGTCTTTGATATAGAATTTTTGAAAGCATAGCAGAAAAAAAAACAAATTAAACTCTATATATTTTGATGGAAAATGATTCTTGCATCGGAATCAAAACTTCCGGAGCCCCGATCTCCAGTCTCTTTTCTTTCTACTTGAATCGTCTGACTCGCTCGCTAAACTTTACCTATAAGTTTACTTAGTAAAACTACAACCCAACTACTTTTTTCTTCGGAAAATTTATATTTTATCAAGGGTATTCGATATCCTATATTATTATTTATCATATTCAAATAAAACGGAAGCAATTAGCCTTCTTTTATACTAACAAAAAGAAAAGTACCGAGAACTGTTCCCGAAATTCTTCGATCTCAAGATTTTCAAAACAAGCTTAAATAATATATTTTGAGACAAAACACAATGATTAAAATTTAAACATGCATGCAAATTCTACTTAACTTAATATGATTCGGAAATAAACTAATCGATTTGAGTACATCTTTATTCAATAAAATCAGTCATATAATTAATTCATATTTTCTTTATATAATGACAAATTGTTTACTATATATTAAAATTCTTTCAAACTCATTTTGTTTTTGTCTCTCTATTGTCAACATTTAAAAAGTACTTCAATATGTTAGAAGAAGAGAAGAGAAAAACCGACAAAGATATTTACATAAGAACATCGGAAAGAATAAAAGGCATTCTATCGTTTATGTATATACACATATATTTGATCTACTTTTTGATTACCTACATTTAACGATATTTGTCTGATCTGACTAATTTTCTTTTTTATAAAGAAAGTCTTTTTTTTACGTTAAGAAGCAATTCAATTTATTGCGCGAATGAAGAAAAAAAGAAGTTGACTTTTGTCACCATCGTTGCAATCTATCGATCAACATCATTGGATAAACTTAAGAAAGAAAAATAGTTAAAGAGCTTCACAAGTGTATAAAGCATAAAATGAAAAAAAAAGAAAAATTCTTTTCCTTTTTTCTTCCTCTCTCTCTGTCTTTCATATTATGTTTCTATCATTTGGTACAAAGAAAACAATCAACACAAATAGTTGCGTATAATTTTGCTTTGAAATCAGATCGATTCTTCTATTCTTTCTCTTTTTTTCTTCTGTTGGCCAAGAAAAAAAGAACTCATAGAATGGAATTTATTACCTGACACTGAGAGAAAGAAGGTAGCAGGAAAGACTGTATTAGCCTTCGTGTGTATGTACGTGTCAGTGAGAGGATAAATGAATCCGGATGTATCGTTTGTATTTGATTATATTGTACCAATTTCGTTATCACATCAATACTTATCCTCAGTAAATTCTGATGGTAATCATCAAAAATTATTACAACGTCGTCAGGAACTATCTAATTCTACGACTAAACTACCAGAATTAACAACAACAACATTTCAACAAACATTAACATTTGTTGAAAATTTTAAACGTAATCAACATAAATCTATAACAGATAAAAGTCGTGTACTATTACAAATACCACAAGAAAATACAAATGATAATAAAACTTTAACACCACAACAATTACGCTATCAACTTAATCTTAAACTTGAACAACTTATACGTACACGTGTTATTGAACCACATCGTGTTATTAATCGATCAAGTATTTTACCAGCATCGCCAATTAAATCGAAAATTGTACCAAAAGAAAATTTTTCTCGTATAATAATACCTTCATATTTGAATCGATCAGTTGATAAAAGTATTATTTCATTGTCGACTACAACAATAAATACGACAGTTACACAAGATGATCTTATTGATAAAGATTCACTTGGAGATAATGATGAGGCTTGTGAGGAAATGATGGAAGAAGAAATTATTACTTTCTTACAGCAACAACCGTAAGATTTGTGAAGTACCTTTATAATTTCCTTCGTAGACTGAATAGTTTTTCTTTTATTTCTCAAGAGGAACAATACTATAATTTGTTATTTACTTTAGTATGTTGGACAAAGATTCATTTGAAATGGAAACAGAAGAATATGAAGCTGAATTTGAAGAAGAATCACTTCGTGATTCTGAAAGTGATGGTAAAATTCTATAGTTTTCTTCTTTTTAACTAATTAATATAACATGAATTTGATTTTAAATAGTTGATGTAGACAATACATTTCCGGTTGATCCAGCCTTACTTCTCTCCGATAAAAGTAATTAGTTGTTCATATTTAATAATAAAAAATCAACTCTTTTTTTAATACAGCACGTCGAGTTGGTAGTACAGAAGTTAAATCAGGTTTTATTCCAAGTTTATTTGCAAATGTTCCACCAACTATTCGATTTTGTAATGAAACTGAACGAAGTATGAAACTCATTTTTATTTAATCATTTAATTATTATTCAAAAAATCTAGTCGAACCACTTCCATTACCATTACAAAAAATGATGAAATGGAAAATGAGTTCAATTACTCCAAATGTTGTTAAAAGTGCTGTTCTTCGTTCAGGTTTTCGTTTAAGTGATGGTAAGTTTTTAATCAAAATTTTTCTCATACCAATAAATTTCTTCTTATCAGAGGGTAATGATTGGCTTGGTACATGGTCACGTCATATGAAACCAGTATGTTTTAAAGCTATTCGTGAATATCAAAAGGTAAGAAATAAAGTAGATATATAAAGATAATCGTTTGATTTTTTCTTTTTAAGATTAATCATTTTCCAGGTTCATTTCAAATTGGACGAAAAGATCGTCTTTGGAGAAATTTATCTCATATGCAGGCTGTACATTCACGACGTGAATTTGATTTTGTACCACAAACATTCGTATTACCCGCTGATTTTTTATTATTTAAACGTGTTTTTGATGAAGTATCCGACACTAAAGAATCGAAATGGATTATTAAACCAGTTCGTATAATTAAAAACAAAAAAACATATATAATTTTGTAATAAAATATTTGTTATTTTAGCCAGCTAGTGCTCGTGGACAAGGCATTCGTGTAAGTCTTCTGATTATATTTTGTTATTTGAAATGGGAAAAAAAAACATACTTGATTTTTGTAGGTCATCAGTAAAATGGAACAAGTGCCGAAAAAACGTGCAGTTGTAGTACAAAAGTATGTTTGTATTGTATATATTTGAATGTGAAATTATTTTTTTGTTGTTCAAATAGATATATTGCAAATCCATATTTAATTAATGGGCATAAATTTGATTTAAGACTCTATGTTTATGTTCCATCACATGATCCATTACGAATTTATCTTTTTGATGATGGTAAGATTTTTAATACCGGAAAATTTTCTTTAAAATAATTCAATTTTGAATAGGTTTGACTCGATTTGCTTCGAGAAAGTATGTTGTTTTTATTTCGAAAAAGAGAAAAGATATTCTTATTTGAAATATAGGTACTCAACATCTGTTAAATCATTAAGTGATCGATTTATGCATTTAACTAATTATTCGATTAATCGATATAATAGTGAATATAAATCAAATAATGATTCAACAGCATGTGCTGGACATAAATGGAGTTTAAAAGCTTTATGGGCATATTTGAAAAAACGTGATGTGGATGTGGCAGATGTTATAGAAAGAATTAAAGATTTAGTTATTAAAACTATTATTAGGTTTGTATGATTTGAATTAAATAAGTCACGCCTATTATTGCAGAATATGATGGTTCTATGGAGACGAGTTTTTTTATCATATTCTATTAATATATTGATCTAACTCAATAGTATTTTTACAGATGAAACGATGTGAGTTCAAAAGGAAATATCTATACTTGAAAAATTCTGATTTGTAATGTAATCTTTATCGACATATCAATCATGATTCTTAGGCGTTTATAAATTCTCTACTTATGATTCCTATAAATACTTTCCTGCTACTACTTCATATGTATAACTTGTGTATTGAACATTCGAATTTGAATTTATATTTTAGTGCTGATTCTTATGTGAATGTCTTAACAAAAGCAAATGTTCGACGAAAATTTAGTGTTCATGAACTTTTTGGTTTTGATGTTATTCTCGATGAGCAATGTAAACCTTATATCGTTGAAGTAAATATTTCTCCAAGGTAATTGAATATACATACATATTTATCAAAAAAAACTTAATAGATTTTTTTTTCAAATAGTTTACATTCTAATTCACCATTAGATATAAATGTAAAAGGTTCGATGATATCAGATTTACTTAATTTAAGTGGCTTTATGATACCAGATCGAAAAGATATGTCATCCGATGGTTCATCGCGAAAGTAATTTTATTTAAGAATTTGATCGTTTTTATTTTTTTCGAAATTGTAGAAAATCAAAATTACCTAAAAGTCTCATATTTGATCGAAGAGTTCTTCCACAAGGTTTATCAACAGATGAAAAAGTAAAACATCAATATTTTGCTCAACGTCATAATGATGAGGTAAATAAAAAAGAAAGTTTTGTTTTCTTCGAAAGTTTCTGATTTATTATTTTTTTATAAATAGCAAATTCGAAAAAATATTGTTGATTTATTGACTCCTGATGATTTGAGAATTTTGGTTGAAACTGAAGATGAATTTGCACGACGTGGTTCATTTGAACGTATTTTTCCAACAAATCAAACACGAAAATATTTAAAATATTTCGAAACACCACGATACTACAATTTACTTTTAAATGAATGGATTACAAAATATACTCGAAATGAAGATCGAGGTAAAAATAAATAAAATTCTAATTGAAAATAATATCATCTATTGAATATATTTAGGTATTGCATTATTAAATACATTTTGTAGAAAAGAAATTCATTTACAAAATCCAGCAGTTGATACAAATCATATGGTATGAATAATAATAGTAATATAAAATGTTAGTTTAATATATTTTTCGAAATTTAGTGGACGCAATATCAAAAACTTCATGGACATTTATCTTATCGAGAGAATGACAATGCGAATACAAATGGTTCTTAGGAAAAATATCTTTTATCTGATGGTGCTTATTTGATTCTAACTTAATCTCTTTTTCTTTCTTCTGTTGTGAACCTTAAACGGTGACTTTTATTTCTGCCTCTCGTAAATACCTGTGTGTCTTGTTGTATATAATATCAATCATTTATTTTGTCCTGCATAGGTCGAATTCTTTTCTATATATTTTTTCTTCGAACCAATAAAATTTTGCTCATTTTTGTGCCTTGTTACTACGAGTTCTAAATGCGATTTATAATCCTTTGTTTTTTGAATTATTAATTGAACTGAAAATTTCGTTCATTTTATGAAGATGACAGTGACGAAGTAAATTCATGTATTAGGTACCATATCGAGCAATCCTTCTGAAAGATTTAGGGTGTGAGAAAAGAGGCGATAAATTCATACCTATCCACAGCCACACCTCGCCCACAATCACTCACACGCACCCTCAAGATGGTTAGGCGCTCCAACTTCTAGTTGTTTATGTTGAAAAAAAGATCACGCCAACTAAAACTCCCAAGCAGACAAATGTTTTTTTTTATATCAAATTCTTATCTTTTAACTTGGAACGAATTTTCAATTATAAATACCAAGTCTAACATTTGATAACATATCTACCTTGTCGATGAAAGGTATCACAAAAGAAAATACCGACATTTTGATAATTAATATTAACATGATAAAGTTTTATGTTATCATTCTATTGGTGCTAACTGTTGTGCCCAGCCAACCACGCAGTGTTAAATTTTTTAATGAGAATAAGTACCACAAATGCTTATCTAAGAAACTTCGGAAGTATCTATGTAAAAGGAGATTAATTGTAGCTAAAATAATTAAATGAGCTTATTTTTTTCTAGCGTTGGCCAAAGAAAAATACATCCCTCTGACTGACGATTGTTCTCAGTATAAGCGCGATACTGAAATAATTCGGTCGTTGCCTTTTTTTGTGCCGGTTAATCCTACAGATCTTCTAGGAACTTATGCCATCATGGATATTGATGGTTGGGTAACTGAATTATATATTCGCCGGGAAAAATACACGCCAAATTCAATATTTTGTTTTCTTCATCTGCAGCAGTTGGTGATATGGAGTTCTACCTTCAATACATCAATGGTTTCATCACAGATTGGTGAACTTTACTCGCTGTTTCGTTTGGAGATCCGAAACACAACTGTTACGCAACTTCCAAACGAATTTAGTAATCTTGTAAAACTTAATAATTTGACCCTAACAGATTGCGGACTCGAGTTCCTGCCATCATATATTAAGAGTTTCACAAATTTAAATTCTCTACAAATATCTTATAACAATATTCGCTCTTTGCCCGATGAAGTGCGTCAGTTAAATTCGTTGTACGAAATAGACATTAGTGGTAATCCATTGACTGAGGTTAATCAAATTAGTGACATGCAAAATCTGTACTCCCTCAGTGCCTATGGTTGCCGTTTCAAGCATTTGCCAACTAACCTAAGAAAGCTAGGCAGTCTTTTTATGGGTGGTAACGGGTTAGACGATTTGGATGGTATTAGTTCACTTGGCAACGACTCAAGTAGTATGAACTTCTATTTCCTTAATAGAAATGCAATTCAGTTTATACCTCCAGAAATACAATTGCTCCGAAATGTTTACTGGCTTGATCTGTCGTGTAATCAACTCAATTACCTACCTACTAACTTCTACAAAATAGATGGACAGTTTATGAAACATTTAGACCTTCGGAATAATAATTTTAGTACGGCGATGATTCAGGAGATCACACCTCTTTTGAAAGCAGCATTTCCTAATGCTGAAATTAATTTGCAATGAAAAAATATAATTAAATATGAAAATATTCCTTTTTAAGCGTTAATATTCTAGGTGATTCATCCAGCTTGATAGTATTACTCTGTCATTTTTTTTAGAAGAGTAGATTGAAAAGTCGCGCATCATTATAGTGATTACATGCAACTGAAATAGTAATATAGGAAGGTGGGTGGGTGTGGGCGTAGTTACGGAGGAAGTATATCTTAACATGATGAACCCACATCCACACTTACATCCACCCTTGCTACAGGTAAATGTAGTCCATCGAAAAACTTTCTTTCGAATTTTCAAATAGTTTATAGTCCTGTTCGCTGTTAAGGAAATATTTGGAGTTGAAATGAACGACGTTCTGTCATCATTCGGCATTTATTTGAACTAACAAATCATACAATTGATTATCGACTATATTTAAACACAATATGCTGATTTACTAAAAAGTAGTTAAATATAAAGTAGATCTTTAAAAGCAATAGATGCAAATATCAATAATCTTGACGTTGTGGGTGTAAGCGGGAGAAACTCAGCAACACACGGGTCCACACACACACACTTTTGAATTCCTTTCGATTGAAAAGTAGATAAGAAAATAGAAAAAAGAAAGTTGTGTATATTGTACCATGTGGAAAAATCGTCTTTTCTTATAAAAGAGAGTCAACAACACATTCAAAAGTTGATAACAGAAGAATAAAACAAGTGATACCTTTCTTTTTTTTCTTTTCTTCATCGTGAGATACTGTTTTACTCTCACTAAAAAATTGAAAAGATAATATTTTGTGAATATTTGACTTGGATAATGATGAAAATACCCAAGGACTCCACAAATTCTGCATGGCAAACCGAAAAATCACCATTTTCTGATTATTGTTCAAGTGAATTTCCTAGAAAATCTAATGTTGTCATCATCGGCACCGGATTCACTGGAATTTCTACTGCTTATCATATTTTGAATTCCTCCTCATCTACGTTATGTGTAACATTGTTGGAAGCCAGAGAAGTATGTTCTGGTGCAACTAGCAGAAACGGAGGACATTTGACATCCAATATTTATTCTACGACACTCTCGTTATTAAATAACGGATTTTCACCTGCTCAAGTTGTTGAACACGCACAATTTGAAATAGACAATTACGAAGCAATCGTGAAGCTGATTAGAGAAGAAGAACTCGACTGTGAATTTGTTCGTAAGGAACATTATAATGTCGCTTTCTCTATGGATGAATTTGAAGACATGAAGAAGAACGTAGACATGATGAGAAACATAGGAGGACCAGTCTCTGAAGTTCAAATCTATCAGAACCCAGAAGCTTCAACTATGGCTGCAGTAAAATGCGAAGGAGTTGTCGTTCACACATATAGCGGGTCTATACAACCTTATAAAATGGTAACTGGTCTTTTGTCCAATTTATTCAAAAAGTTTCCAGATAGAATAAAACTATTTACTCATACACTGGTGGAAAAGATCGAGAATAATACGATACATACGAATCGGGGAACTATCATTGCTGAGAAGATTGTCTATGCAACAAACGCGTATACCTCCCTCTTACTTCCTCAAATAAAAGATGTTATCATCCCGGTTCGTGGACAAGTCATTCAATCAAATCCAGTTGATAGATCTATTCAAAATAGTTCATTTAACCATGGTGGAGAATATCTCTCTCAAACACCTACCAAAAAATTAATTATTGGCGGCGCCCGCCGATTCTCGTCGACTGCAGAAATCAACGAGATAGACGATTCCGTTTTAAACGAGAAAGTGAGTGTCGAATTGCAACAGTTTTTCGAAAAGGTGGGTGGTGGAAGAGTCGAGTTGGAATGGACGGGAATCATGGGGTACACGAAATTTGGGATTCCAGTGGTTAAGGAAGTCGATGGCGGAGTTATTTGTGCTGGATTCAGTGGACATGGAATGCCTCGCATCTTCCTCTCTGCAAAAGAAGCGGCAAGACTTATTCTTCAGCTGAATGAAGCACAAATTACACCGTCTGGATTTGATCAAGTGCGACGCATAACACCTGATGATATTTGAAGTTGTAATTCTCTTCAGTGATTTATTATATCTATATATCGTTCGATCTACATTTTTCTATTTTCAAGATAGGTTATAATACATAAGATAATATAGTTTCAATAGAAAGTTCGATTATTCTTATAATGTGTATTATTGACTTCGATTATTAGTTTAGATATTGTCATTATCTAAATAAATACGCAAGACATTCATTAAAATCTTCAACTAAAGAGATCTCTATTCACTAATACATTCGTCTAATTGTTGAAATGTCCTCATATGTTCATCACTGAAGGTGATTTAACGTTTCGGATGTGTGGACATGTCATATGTGATCAATACAGTACTGATGCCCAAACGCACACCCAAAAATTCTGATTTTCAAGGTCTTGTTCTTTTTAAACAAGCATGTTTGATTATTCATACACTCGAATATGCTAGAGTTCTCGTATGTAGTTATTGCGAATTGCACGCTATGGTGAAACAAATAGTTACGAAAAGAAAAAAGACGAATGGACATTTTGCCTCGCTTATGATTGTACAAAAATTTCTTCTTATTGTAACATCACTTATGTTGTGTAGCTGAAAGCTTTTCGTCGTATGTTTTAAAGTAGTAAAATAAACAAACGTACAGAATGTATTACGAACAACTCGTCATAGCAATACTGAATAACAGTTGCATGTTATGATTTTACTTCAAGGTAAATCATTGATTTTTTTTGCCACATGGCATAAAGAAAAATACGTTTTTTAATCTTGCTATTATAAAAAAGAACTATTCGTTTTTGTTTGTACCAAGTTTGATGGCAATATATTGGCGACGGATCCGAAATTTTCTAGCAAGTACGATAGATAAGTGAGATGCGAAAATTATTTATGCTAGGAAAAAATGAACATTTACCGTTCAAGGAAGATACAACTGCTTCCATCACGCCCTTTCTAAATCTACTACTGTAATGCATGTGTACAGAACATGTGTAACACAAGTAAGTGTCTAAGAAAAAACATCAGAATATAGCTCATCTATAATCATACATAAACGAACAAATTTCGTTGACGAGCTTAAAATCTTCTGAATGTTAACAGGAGTAGCCATCTGTAAACCATGAGTACTTGACCATAGAAAGGAATAGTTGTGTGTCACAATAGTGATATACAGTCTCTGTCATCAGCTATAATAAAACGTGATAAAAATGTAAGCAATATGCATCTCTTATTTTCTCTCACGATCGAGATAATATGTCTATAAATATATTCTGTTTTACGCAAAAATTGTCATCATATACAAGGTTGATTCAATCGCCTAAAAGTGATATACACTGAAAAGCACTGTATTATCCAGGAACTTGCAAAAATTCAATATCTCAGGATAGAAAGACTAAGAGTCCATATTGTTTTAAGATCATTCTAGTCTAGAGATTCCATTCATATGCTGTAAATATGAGTTGTAAAGTGATGAATCACTTCTGGTAGTTCCCTCGTCAGTTATATAGTTTTTCGAAACTATTCAAATATCGAATTTTCACAACTTATACTATCGTTAGCTTCTAACATTCGATTTTCTGAAAATGTCACTATATTTAACACATTTCAAAGGCGCGATTTTTAACTTTGTTTTTTAGATAATTTTCTACAATAAGATATGGCATGGACATATACCTATTGGATTCTATGTAATGTTTTGAGTGGTTTTGCTATATTTTTACTTACTTTCATAATTTTGGGAATTCTTGTATGGCATTTTGAATCAATATTCTATGGTATGGTTGATAAACTATTTAATATTCAGCGTTGTGTTATTGATGTACATCACACTATTATTCGAAACAATTCCACAATATATACTGCGAAGGCTACGATAAAAAAGAGTCCTGGTTTGGCTCCGAAGCTGCGTCATTGTTGTAGGCAAGTTGCTGTTGAAAATTCTGTCAGACCTGTCAGTATTTCTGCTCTTGCAAGTGATAACGTCGTTCCAAAACTTTACAACTCTGTAAAAAACGATGTTTTGAACATTGTTGAAGAGCGTACAACGACAATTGGTTTGAAAACACTCGGATTTGCAGAAACTGATTCTGAACAGGATCTTACGGATGAGAATGAGTCTGATCAAGAGGCTAAATCTAGCGGTGATCACACAATGAAAAGCGGTGTTTTACTACCAACAGGACCAAACATCACATCGTCGATACCACGAAATCATCCGTCACATCCTCAATACGAACGAAAAGTATTAAACGTGTATGGAAAATATCTCACTTTAAATAAGAAGAGGAATACGTTGTTAATATTGGTTTTAAGTACTATCGTTATTTCAGCTATAATTATTGCCGGTTTTGGAGGTTGTATATTAGCCAGTACAACTGTTCATCAGAACGGTCCGTGTCCCTTCTACGGTACGTCAGAATGTTTTCACGGTGACAATCATACTTATTTTGAATGTGAATCTGGTGATGAAGTTAATATTACATTACTCACAAGTAGTGCGTCATGTTTTCGCTGGATTGCACTTGATAAGTCCATAACGGAGGTACTGGCACAGATTGCTATTTGTACAGCTTTACTGACTGCTTTCGGATCAGTTGCTGAAGTTATCCTACGTCTATTGCTCTATGTATTTCAACCACGTCGAGGCGTAGCAACAGGTATACGCCGTATAATGGAAAAAACTGTGGGTATAAATCGAATCACTCAACCGTCTCGTTTCTGCGGTGCTACACTACCATGTCGTTTTGGTGTACTGAATCTAGGCTTGTATCAACATCCTTGGTTGATTGTAGTATTGACTACATTTTATATTCTTTTACCATTGATCATTATCGCTGCATTTATCTCTTTAACAGAATTTCAAATCAGTATAACATCATTAACCTATACTGTTCTACTTACACTCGTGCTGCTCTGTTCTCTTGCTCTAATATGGATAATGTGGGAAGAAGATGAACTGAGTAGAATTCTACCAGGTGGATGGATGAGCATTTCGGATGTATTTCCAAAAGACCGAATAGCAAAGTTAGCATATCTGGGTACCAGTATAGTTCCACAAAATCAAGTCACAAAAGTCACTGATGGTATTAGTGATAAAGGTCAAAAAGTGACCAGTATGATCATGGATAAATTTCCTAAGACAGAACGGAATCCAATAGAAGATGTTGTTGAAACTGTATCTGAAAAAACTCAAAGCTATAAGCAAAGAGCAGGCTTGATGCGCAAAACAGTTTCAAGAAGCGAAAACAAACAATCCGAAGATTCTGGTAAGATTGTTTCTGACCATATTATATTTTTAGGTTGTCCATGCTTTGATGATCGATTATTTGAGAGGGATAAAACATTCTTCCCATACTTATACTTTTTTTGATTTGAACGCTAGCGTAGATACATGGTGAAAGGAGAGAAAGAGAACTAATTAGTAAAAATCATCGTAGGTACACAATAGATCATAAGAAAGCAAGTTTGATTAACGATAAAACACGCTCTTGAGGGTGTGGGTGTGGGTGTAGATGATGATATATTTTCTCATTAATCACCCACACTCACACCCACACCCTCAAGATTGCTGCTATTTTTTCCTACTCTTGTTTTCACTACATTATTTTATCATTTACATTATGGCGTTTCACATAATGTAAAAGTAAAACATATGTAACATTCAGTTAGCTTTGTTTCTTTAGAACTTCATACTTCAAAAATAACATCATCAATCAGAGCAAACAACGGAACTAAGCAGGCTCGCAAACAGACACAACTTACAGCAAAAAGTTCGTATTTCATTCGTTTATTCTTACAAATGACCACTACTTCATTCGTTTATAGCACTTGCCATACTTGAAGAAGCAACTAAATTTAGCGAAAAAGGTAAATATCATATATTATCGATATTTGTTTTTGATCTATTCTGTTATTTAGATATTCAAGCATGGCATGCTGTAAGTGACTACACATTCTTGAATTTTCGTCTTATTGATCATCTTCTTGCTTTTAAAAGGGTTTTTTTCATGATTGTCCGGATGGACAACTTACTAAAGAAATATTTATTCGTACCTTTAAACGATTTTATGTTCGCGATAATAGAGCAGCTTGTTTTTGCAAGTATGTTTAACTATATATTTCGTTTTTTTAATCTATCATTAAAGATATGTATTTGGAATGTTCGATAAAGATAATAGCGGTGCGCTAAATTTCGTGGAATTTCTTCTAGCTATTTCTTCTAAAACTCAAGGTGATTTAGAGCAACGACTAGAACTCGCATTTGACATGTAAGTTAATTATATCACATTTTCTTATAATTAATTCTATCTTATTTAGGTACGATGTTTCAGGTAATGGAGAAATAGAATTGGAAGAATTAACTAACTTGATTATAAGCATGGTAGAAAAGAACAACAAAACTTTTTTTCTTTGTATTAATTTGACTCAATGGATATTTTCTTTTCAGTATGATCTTGTAGGTGAAACTAATCGTAAAGATAACAATGACCCAAAATTTCGCGCCATTGAAATCTTCAAGAAACTTGATATAAATAACGATAAGAAATTAAGCAAAGAAGAGTTCATAAAAGCGTATATATATATATATACATTGCAAATGTTTCCTTTCTTATTTTCTATATTTTATTAGATGGGAAGATAATCCGGATCTTGTTCACATGCTCGCTCCACAAATGTGAATCATACTTATGAAACGACAAGACATTTTTATTATGTTTTCATCTATCTTTTTTTTTCATCGAAAAAAAATAAAAATACATCGCGTTATATAAAGAACTTGCAAAAGAAAACATCCGTAGTGTTCCTACATTTCAATCACACGTGAAAAATTCAAAGAATTGTGTTGAATATTGAGGATGTAAATGTTTGTAGGAGAAGATAAAATCTAGCGACACCCACATCCACACTTACATCCACTTTAAGCAGCCTGTTGGGTGGCCATTCTTTGTCATACTTAACACAGAGAAATTCTATTTTGTTCAAGCACAATAGTTTTAATAATTAAAGATAGATAACTTGACAGTAACAACATAAAAGTAAATATAGAAAAAAGTGCAGTTAACGATAAGTTTATGAAAATTTTATATATTAAAAGAAAAATAACAATATAATTTAATTTAGAATTTTCGACCTTGAAAGCTGGTAACGTTGGTGAAATCGGTCATCATCTGTAAATATTAATGTTGTAATAATCATAATAATAAGTGTGGGTGTGGATGAGGGTGGTGGTAAGGGTGGATGTGGGCGTCAGTAGATAATGAGAAAAGATACTCACACCGTCAAGACTGACAGATTACGTTCGAAAAGAGAGCTTTCCAGACTCTGAAGGATGGTACAGATTGTGTTCCGTGCTATTTAAAATGGGTCAATTTGACAAAGCTGAAGATATTTATCAAGTTTTACTTGATCAAACAAAGAATGATAAAGATAAGGCACCTATTGACGTTTATCTTGGTATGATTAAAGTAGATCCAGGAAAATATCAAGAAGCACTTACATTCTATGAAAAATCACTTTCTGTCTTTCAAAAAACTCTTCCTTCCAATCATCCTGATTTGGCTACGACCTATAACAACATTGGTGAAGTGCATCGAACGATGGGTAATTATCCCAAACACTTTCTTATTATGAAAAAGCGCTTGAAATTCAACAACAATCACTTCCTTCCAATCATCCTGATTTGGGTTCTTCCTACAACATCATTGGTTTGGTGCAGGAAGACATGGTCGATTACTCAGAAGCCTGTAAATTTTACGAACGTGAGGGTGTGGGTTAGGGAACTGCAAAGCCACTTTTTTTGGTCCCGGTCCCAGTCCCTGTCTTGCTAAAAACTTAAGAATAATTCTGTAACGATTCACGTACTCGATGTTGTGTTTTAAAGGAAGTAATTCTAGATTTGCTGTTTTAGAAATAATGTAAAAACATATTTATATCTGATTAAAGTTAAACTATAAAATAACATATTTATCAATTCTTAACTAAAGAAAAAAACAAATAAGAAAATGTCTAGTCTCACACTTGATAAAAACATTGAGAAATTAGCTGACAATTTTAGTGTGGGTGTGGGCATCTTTTCTCATTATCTACCAACACCCACACCCACACCCACACCCACACTCACACCCACACCCACACCCACACTCACACCCACACTCACACTCACAGTCACACCCACACCTACACCAACACCTACACCCACACTCTCACCCACACCTACACCCACACCTACACCCACAACCTCACCCACACCTACACCCTCATCCACACCGATACCCACAATCATCCTTAAGAAATATTTTCAGGAGAAAATTTTAAAAATCGGGAGTCTCCTGGTCAAATCAGGAAGTTTGGCAACCCTGAATACAACATTAATCTTTTTTAATTTTTTTTGTTCATGAATCGCATAGCTTGACACATCTTCAAAGATCTTTCAAAGACATAAACACTTTTTTTGTCGTCGAAAAGTAAAAAGTATGTGTACGTCGCTTACAAAATATTATCGTTCCGCGAAAAAAAATGAAAGTTGATCGCAGTTTTAATTGACTGTGCACATCGCTTTGTTTGGCTTTGTCTGAGAGTATGCAAATATGGCGACCACTAGTGATCGAGAAAAGGTATTGGTTGACAACGAACAGACAAAACCTAAAACATTAATATATTTTTATTATTGCTGCCGTTCTTTTCGTTCTTATCAATACGGTCAGTGACAATGTGTTGGTAAAAGACGATGTAAGTAAAAACATTTTAGAGACGGAAAGTCGAAGTTGTATGTTTTTTTCTTCTTTGTTTCTTTACCAATCACTTGAAAAGCTTTTAGTCTCTCTACTTCTATGCGAGTGGATAGGTGTGGGTGTAAAATAGAAATAATACTCATCTTCACACCCACCGTCAATATACGCACGCTCTCACTCTTTAAAAAAAAGAAAAAGACGAAGCATACAGTTGATTTGAATGAAAATGCAACCGACGCAAAAAGTAATTATGTTACTAGCATTGCTTGTTTATTTGCGGTAAGAGTATCGATAAGATAAAGAAGAAAAGAACGTACTGTTTTATGTGTTGTCTACAACAACAAGGTTTTTTTCAGAGAAAGACTTCACATCACGTCAATACTCACTAGTGGAAGACAACGAAACTGTCTGTTTCAATTGTTACTTGATTAATGATCTATTTGATACGAAGAATAATTTATAACTTCTTTTTTCTCTCAGACTTCTCCTTTATTTGGTAAATATCTGATTATTTATAGTGGTCTTTCGCATATTGTCCTAACCGCTAAAGGTATTAACGTCTCAGTACAAGTAATTTCAGACAAATCAAATCATGGGTTGTTCAGCAAGCGTAACACCTGCTTCGACAATTCCATCATGTACAAAAGTAGACGTAGCAACAAATACTGTTTCTGACGAAGCTCTTCGAAGTTTACTACCGGCCATCAATGCAGCTAAATATTTTAATGAAACATCTACGCAGACCGATTCTTTACAGGATGACTTAGAAATGAACCAAACGTCATGTTCTGAAGGTCTGAACAATGGCAGGTTGAACATAGTTTCAGATAATCAAAATGGTCTTGAACAAAGGACCAACTCCAGTGAAATAGCTATCAGAACATACAATGCGACAAACCCACGTTTTCATCAAAATCCACTAGATCGAGAAGAATTAGATTGGATCCTCTTTGATCTGGATGCTAATCAGTTTTGCGTAAATAATCAAAGTTTATTAATGTCTGCTTCTCAAGTCACACCCGCTGTGGTAGTAGATGCTATTGAAAAGTCAGATGACTTCAGAAATGTAACACCCGAGGTTTGGAAATTGCTCAATAAGGCCAAAGGAACCGGCGATGCCACTTATCTCGTACAAGCTTACACCGTTGAAAGTCATTTCTACAAAATACTGAATCGAAAATTAGCACGGCAAAGTTTAAGCAATCCGATGAGTATGGATATCGTGGCACAAATGCAAGCAACGTTGTCAGCCGCGTTTGGACAAATGAATCAATTTGTGTCAGCTATTCAAGCGTTTCAAGCAGATGGACGAATAGGATTACCAAATAACAACGAGACTGATTGGGCTAGATTGTTCTTACAAGCAATGTATCGGTTGATTATGATACCTAACTCTACTCTTCGTTATCAAGGTCTGACATACCGTGGCATGCGACTGACACAAAAAGAATTAGAGTGCTATAACGAAGATAGAATATTCGTTTGCAATAAAGCAATTACTTCGACGTCGAAACTAAGATCTGTTGCAGAAGGTTTCTTTGGCTCTGCTCCGAGACCAGAACACATGGTCGACGTCCTATTCATTTACAACATCGATTCTTACAGTGCATTATTTGCAATTGACGTACATACTATTTCTTCAATACCGCCTGAAGAGGAAGTGTTGATTATGCCAGGTATTCTTTTGACGATTGGTGAAACAAAAGTTATATCTCCACATTCAAGAGAAATCGAACTGCGTTCCGCTTACAAAGATCTTGCTGAAGGAATGATGGCAAACTCTCTTACTGGATTGCTATCTAATTTCGAGTCGGAATCTTCTTCTGAGTCTGAATATAAACTTCAATGAGAGTGTGATTATGGATGGTGATGAAGAAGAGACACCCACATCCTTTCTTATTTTCTATATTTTATTAGATTGAAAAATACTCCAGATCTTGTTCACATGCTTGCTCCACAAATGTGAATCATACTTATGAAACGACAAGACATTTTTACATGAGATGCCTAATTCGAATTATAATATAAATGCACATCTAATGCTTAATATCAATTCGAAAATAAAAAATAAATATATATATATATACTCCTTACCCATGTAAATTTAGGAATTTAGGAATAGATTTAGTTTTTTC